AGAAATATGTTTACATTACTGAGGCTACAATAACTGAATATGTACAAAATTTTACATACTATATATATATATATATATATATATATATACATACACACAAAATTTTTCTATCAGTTTTGTTAATTTTAGTATGCCATGCATTTAAAAGATCAAATATAAGCATAAAGTTAAATAAGCATATATTCACAAAATGGTGATTTCTTAAAAAGGATCAGAATAAATGTTGCCATTATTCATAGCCTGGCTTCCACCTTCTTAGGATGGACATAAGCAATGAGGATGAGAGAGATGTACTTAATTATTCTTTTTTCATAGTTTTACTGATTTCATAGAGGAAGGGAGAGGTAGAAATAGCAATGATGAGAGAGAATCCTTGGCAGCCAGTCCAGGCTGCAACCCGGGCATGTGCCCTGACCGGAAATGGAACCATGACCTCCTGGTTCATAGGTTGATGCTCAACCCAAGCCACACCAGCCAGGCTGATTCTTAAGAGTCAACAGAGCATTTAGCTAAACTAGTCACAAAACAATAAAAGTGTTAAAATGCATGAAAATATACATCTTTGATACAGATAGATATTTGGATTCTTACAATATCTTTGCAATATAAATGCAAACATCCTCTTCCTCTTCCAAGTTCGTAATGTACATCAGCAGTGCCTAACTTTATGATGATTTCTTTAAAAAGATTGTAAAGGGACATTAAAGGTGGGGGAAGAGCCCCAGCTGGTGTGGTTCAGTGGTTGAGCATCGACCCACGAACCAGGGTCAAGATTAGATTCTCAGGCGGGGCACATGCCTGGGTTGTAGGCTCGATCCCTAGTAGGGGCGTGTAGGAGGCAGCCAATCAATGATTCTCTCTCATCAGTGATGTTTCTATCTCTCTCTCCCTCTCCATTCCTTTCTCTGAAATCAATAAAAATAACAAACAAAAAGATAGGGGAAGATAAATGACCAAAAGAATGTGGTCCAGAGCCATAAGGAAATAGCCAAGAAGCCTAAAGCGGGGAGGGGGAAGAGAGGGGGCAAGCAGAGGTCCAATAACATATGGTTTCTGTTATGTCAGAAGCAAGGAGAAAGGACCTGACCCACTGCGTTAGAGAAGCGGCTAACAGAGAAGCAAGCAGAATCGTGCCATTCCTTTCTGGTGTCACTCTCCTTTTACAGATATGCTGATTTTCAAACTGGGCAGGGTAGAAAAATGTGATTCAAGAAGAACTCAAGCAAAGACATATACAGACATAATAAAAGTCACTTTAAATGAGTTTAAGTCCCTAAACCCAGAGGAATTACACTCCAGGGCACAGACAGAACTTGGGAGATAAAGTTCGGACAACTGGGAATGTGTGAGAAAACGAGTGCAAGAAATAGTTTCAGAATATCCCCCAAAAGGTAAATAGGTAACAAAAGCCACAGACCATTAAGCCTGATAGGGAATAAAATTCCTCAATGTTTTAACAAATGACTGGCTTACGTGGATGGCAGTGACCATCAGAAACCAGCATAAGATAACTGGAAAAACGCAATGTTATTCTCTCTTCTGCTGAAACCGCTAGATAACATAAATAAGCTGTAAAATGAGAGGCAGATATAAAGTTGTCCAACAAATGAATTATTAGACCCACTTTTCCTAAAGTGTGTTACACGCAATACTCCCCTAACTTGTCCCTTGAGGAGTTAGTTCTGTGACTGTAGTCATTCCCCCTGAAGAGTTACAGGGGCAAGTAGAGACTTAGTATCGAACTTTTAAAAACAGCCTGTGTGTGTGTATGGACGGAGGAGGGGGTCATCCTAAAAAAATGCCCTGGAATACTGTCTCAGGCAGCACATCTTGATTCTAAAAAGGCACTTAGGTAATCTTCTGGATACACTTACGGGCATGCTGGAGACATAGTATAAACCGGAAGTTCCAATGATGGGTGCAGCTTTCTAGCTGGTTATAAAATAACGCTAATAAAAGCCCAGAGCTTCTTCCTAGGGTAGATACAATGTAAACGATGACACAATGAATCCTGGCTCTGTCAAGTAACAGCTCCGAGCCCCTGCACACACTGGGTAGGCCTCTGGCCCTAAGTTCCTCAGTTACAGAGAATAATACTGCATGTCTCACAGAGTCAGGACAGTTACATAAGTCAATATATATGTAAAGCGTATATTAGTAAGTGCTCAATAAATGTTAGCTATGATGATGACTATTAAATTCTCTTAGGGGTAAGTAAATGTTAATGAGACCTAATAAGAGTATTGTAAAATGTAGGGTAATGTTGTCCACCAAATGAAGGGTAGATATGAAACTGTTCACCAAATCCTATAATATTATGTTAGAATAGGTAAATTACTATAAATAAAAGCTACCATAGAACTAAAAGTAAACTTATAGAATTTGTAACCCAAAGCAGCAGCACAGGATAAAATACAGGAAGCTCACGGAACCCTTCATCCTACTCATGTAGAAAGAACTGTTGGTAGGATGGAGAGCAGCATGAATCTGGACCAGCAGGGAAATCCCTTACTGTTTTTTGCAGCAACTTTTAATATGTTAGTTTGAAAGAGCCTACTGCACATCGCAAAAATAGTTAATTAAAATAAATACTCAGATGCCCAAGAAACGTACCACTTCAGAGTCCAGCTCGCAGAGGCCAACCCCCCGCCAACCATTTAATTACATACTACTAGAGGCCTGGTGCACGAAATTCGTGCAAGGGGCTCGGCCCTCACAGCAGCCCTGCCTCCTGCCCACTGGTCGTTTCTGAAGGTCATCCCAGAAGGTCGTTCCGGAAGTACATAGGAACATCCTTAAAGAGGGCAAGTTCCTTTCTCCTGCCTCCCTCCTCCAGCGTTTCTCAACTTCACTGCACCGCCAGCCCCTGCCCACCTGATCTGTTTATATTTGGACCAATTTGTTCATATCTTCTCCAAGAAGAGCTTAGCGGGCTTAGTCATACAAGTTTGACTGTTGAATTGGTAATGACCTAATTCAACACCAAGTTGTCCGCTTAAAACTTGAATGAATTATGCTAAAAAAGTGAAGCATCAATTGAGCGGCCAGCTGTTAAGGCATATATAATGTCGGGGGGGGGGGGACACCCTATAGATGCGTAACTTTACGGCGCCTATCACCACCTGCTAGAACCCTGGCATTTTTTCAGGACTCGCTAAGAGCGCAAGCTCCCGGGGCAGGACTGCTTCATTTTCAGGACCTAAGTCAACACCCCGCTGACAGAGTGGCATCCGAGCGTCTGTCCAATGAGTGGATTTACACTTTGATAGATCACATATACCCATACAGATCTTTACAGGAAACAGCGAAAGTGTTTACACTGGGCTTCTAAACCATGAAAAAGAATCTTAGGGGGAAAAAAACAAAACCCTGAAAAGAACACTACTAGAGAAAGACTTAGGAAACCCCAAGTTCTGGAGGCAAACTTCGTTTCTATGAAGCTGGAAGCACTAACTACACAAAGACCATTCCACTCCCCGAGGGGTTTTCGCTGTTAAACTAACACCAGGGCGAGCGCTCCAATCCAGCACTTGCCCACCTGCCCAGGGTGAGACCCATTCATAACAGAGTCGCTGCAACAAGTAAGACCACGGAAAGGACCAACTTCTCTTCTCCAAAAGCAAAGGAAGAGGGAGAGGAAGGCACACGTCGGCGAACAAAGCCAGCCGGGGGCCTCGGGGCGTGAGCCCCAGACAATGGGAGCCGCGGCGGGGCCGGGGGTGGGTCACCGGGGGGTGGAGTCTCAGGACGCACCGCGCCGAGCTCCTCCTGCGCCGCAGCCCGCCGGGCGCGGGGGACCGGGCTCCGAGGGCCCCGAGGGGCTGCGCGTGCCGGGAGGGGCGCGTGACCCTGCACGCCGGGCACACAGCGCTGCAAGGTTGTGTGTCGTCAGCTACGGCGACCCCAGCCGCTCCGCCCCGAGCGCGGGGTGCAGAGGGGAGTCCCCGGGGACCGGAGGCGCGGCCGCGGGAGGGCGGGGCTGGCTTACCTTGAGGAGGCAGCTGCTGAGAGGGGCGGGCACGGAGGTGCGGTGGATAACCAGGTCCTGGCCCGGGTTGTGCACGTCGCAGATGAGCTCCAGGACGGCGATGCTGCGCGCCGTGGACACGGACACGCGGTGGTCTTCGGACCAGGCCAGCGGCTCCAGGCCGCTCACGGCGTGCTGCAGCTTCACGGCCGGCTCCCGCCGAGTCGCCAGGAGGCGGAACGCGTCGCTGGGCCCGGGGGTCGCGTCGGTCGCCGGCTCCCTCCCGCCCGCCTCGCCCTCCTCCTCCTCCTCGGGCGGCGCAGGCCCGTCGGCCGCGGGCCGCACCCGCTTCTTGTCGGGCGTGTTCATCTCCCGTTAGATGCGGCGGCCGGATCCCCGGGCGCGCCAATCCCGCGTCGCCGGCCGATTGCCGCCTCCCGCGCCCGCCGCCGGTGGTTCCCCAGCGCCCTCCGCGGCGATTTTTCTCCCCTCAGGCCCAAAGCGCCGCCGAGCCAGGAAGGACCCCGCCGTTGCTAGGCGACCCAGCCTGGCCGGGTGGCCAAGGCGCTGCCTGTCTAAAAAAAAGTGCCACCTCTACAGGCGGGCCCCAAGCGCCTGCACTTGGCTCACGGGTGGGCTGCGGGCAAGGAGCCTAGCGAGCCCCCACTCGGGGTGATCAAGCCTCAGACCTTTTTTTAGTGACTTCCCCGGGGCCACTCAACTGCTGAGGAAAGAGTCACCCGAGGGCAAACGAAGGAAATGTTGGTTAGATGGCGCGCGGCCTCATTCTGCAGAGGAATACAAAGAACTTCACAAGCATGGACTCTGGGCTTGAGTGTCACTTGGCATCCGCCGCCACAGGCCGAGCCCCGAGGGATGCCAAGCGGGACGGCCCCCCCGCCCGCGCCCCCCTCACCCCACCTCGCCCCCCGGCGCCGCGGCTGCGGTCACCCCGGGGGCGGGTCGTGCGAACGCTCTCGGGCCCTGCGGACCCGGAAGGGGCGCGGCCACAGGCGGGGGCGGGGCAGCTACGCGGGGTCCTCGCGCGCGTCCCACGTGAGCGCCAGCGGAGCCACGGCCCTAGTTGTCGAGGTCCAGACGCGCCCGCTGGTCCGCGAGTGTCCGTGCCTCCCCGCCGGCCATGGCAGTCACCGACGGAGCGCCCCTCCAGCTTTCCGAGCCCGCCGCCGCCGCCGCCGGGACGTCCTCCGGGCCCCGCGCGGCCCCGGCGAGGCGGGTGAGTTCCCACCGCCCACAGGCCCGTCTGCACAGGCCCGAGAGGCCGTGTGGCCTCGGCCCGATTTGGAATGATTTCCGGAGTTGAGGGGCGGGGGGTGGGGGGGAGTCGGACCGATTCTGGAGGTGTCGCCGAGCCACGGGTGTTTAAGGGCAGATTACACCCCCACCCTCGGGGGGAGAGCCGGCGGGGCCGCTGGTCGATGGAGTCGGGGGCCCGGGCTGGAGCCGCCTCCCCTGGAAGCGAGCGTGGACGCTGGGGCCCGAGGCCCAGCCCTGACCCCACCCGCGTCTCGCGGCCATCGTTTTTTCTCGACCGCCAGGGTCGTTGGTTCCCGCAGCGAGGATTGGAGACCGGGGTTTCTCTAAGTGCTTTCAGAAAATGACCTGGACGCCATCCCTGTGCAGAGAGGGGGAAAGTAAATCCAGCTCGTCGGGGTAACTCCCTCGGCGGGGAGGGGGGGGGGGGCGGGAAACTGGTGTCCAGGAGGATGGACTTCCCGCCCGGAAAAGGGGAGGGGTCCGGGCAGAAAAGCGCTTGAAAAATCGCGTGACTTCAAACCCCAGGAAAAGCGCAGTCTCGTACCAAAAACTTGTGTGTGTGTGTATTCTTGGAAAAAGCAACAGATCATCCTTTGAAAATTCTATTGCCAAGTTTCGGGGCGGCCGAAATTCCTTGAGTTCTTATAAACTAACACCCAGTGTCTCGCTGCTCTTTGATTTTTTTTAAATTTTTTTTTATATGTTTTATTGATTTTTTACAGAGAGGAAGGGTTAGGGGATAGAGAGTTAGAAACACCGATGAGAGAGAAACATCGATCAGCTGCCTCCTGCACACCTCCTCCCGGGGATGTGCCCGCAACCGAGGTACAAGCCCTTGACGGGAATCGAACCTGGGACCTTTCAGTCCGCAGGCCGGCGCTCCATCCACTGAGCCAAACCGGTTAGGGCTCTTTGATGATTTTTATTTATTTATTTATTTTTTTGTGTGCCCGTGTGCGACCAACTTTAGGATTTGCAGGTTTGGGGGTAAAGTTTCTGGCTTGCCAGTGGTGTGGCCGCATGGGGGGGTGGGGATGAGGTAGGAGGAGGAAGGAAGGAATGTGGGGGCAGCGTGGGGTTTGGAGTGAGACAGACCTGGGATTAGGTGCCGGCCTTGCCACCCACTAGCTCTGTGACCTGGAGGAAGTTACTTCACCTCTCTGACCTTCCTTTTCCTAGCCATAAAGTGAGAACAGTCACTTCTACTTTACATAAGGTTATTATGACGGTGGAAAAGGTGATGTACGTAAAAACTATACATTTCCTGAATCAGGCATTTAATAAATGATAAAACATAAGTCAGTTCATCTGGGCTCCATTTTGTGCAATAGTATTGCTACATCGGGAGGGCGGTGGGGTGCCTGTACCAGGTACTTGCCTTGTAACTAACACATAAGAAGCACTTACTGATTCTGAGTGAGTTGCGTAAATAAACGTAGGATGTCTGATTTTACCAGTGTTTGAATGATTGTGTCAAAAGGGTGTTAATGAGGTGATGACAAGTGTCTGCAGTGGTCTTGTCTACATCTTCATTTGGGTCTTGAATGAGGATTGTGCTGATCAAATTTGCCAGTAGCCTGCACTTGGGATGGGTAGCCAGTGCACTGGATTTGGAAAGACTTCGAACTCGGTGCAGGATATTTTCTTTCTAAAGTTTTTTTTTCCTGATTATTAAAACAAAGTTAATGATTTTGAAAATATTAATTAATAATTAGAAAATTCCAAAAGTAGATTTAAAAACACACACCCATCAGCCTGGTTAACATTTTGGTATCTGTCCTTTGTAGAAAACGACTCAAAACAAAATAGGGATCAAACTATTCATGATGTTTTCTAACGAAACATCATACAGCAAGTAAGTAGTATCATAGCATTATCATCAGGAACCTGGGCTGTGAGATGATGCCGGGCAAAGCCTGGGTCCCTCTGTGGTCCTGGGGCAGCTCATCTCACACCTCAGTGTTCTCAGCTCAAAGAGATGATACCATACCTGTATTGATAAGTGAGTTAATTCACATAAGTACTAACTACTCAGTATGTTTATTAACATCAAGGACGTGGTATCTAGACTTTTAGGGCTAGGAGGCCCCAGAGGTCATCTGCCATAGCCCCTCATTTTACAGGGGAAGGACAGCCTCAGAGAGAAGTGACTTGCTTAGTGCTGTGCAGCTAATTTTAAGTAGATCTAGGTATGTCCTTGCCCCTCTCTGCTCAGATGCCACCTCGAGAAGCATTCCTGTCCCCTGGCCATGGGCGCTCCTAACCCTATGCACAGACTCTTCTATGGTACAGCTCTAGGTTTGGGTTTTGGGTGTTGCACTTTGGTCTCTTTCACGAGCGTGCTAATCTTGCAGCTTTGTACCCTAAGGATCAGGCTGCGGATAGCTGCTGAGTGGCCAGTATTTGAAGTTAATGTATTGTGGGTGGGGGAAGCTAACAGTAGTCGAAGTGTCCAGATTGTGGAAAGGGAAAATTCCATTGCGTGTAATTCGTTCACCTCACACATGTTTATTGAGCACACACTGTGTGCCAGGCATGAGCCAATGCAGGGGCGGCCTGGGTGGAGAGAGGAGACCAGGAAAGACTCTTCCAAGGACAAGTAAGCCTAGAACTGAAGGATGAGTGTTCGTTGGCCAGCCAGAGGGAGGTTTGGAGACATGGGTGTGGGAACAGCACGTGCAAAGGCCCTGAGGAGGGAAGGAGCGTGGCACAAGCTAAGAATTAAGGACGACCAGGACAGCAGAGGGTACAGCTGAGACTGGCGAGATGGGCAGAGCCAGATTCTAGAGGGCTTTGTAGATCAAATTACAGATTTTTTATTTTAGCCTAAGAGCCATGGAAAGCCTGTCTAATACTGTGCTTAACTCTGAGTACTTGTTTTTAGAGAGAAGATGGCATGGGAATAAAGGGTGAGCTGGATAGTAAGGGATCTAAAATCTGTGTCCTATTTGGAATATTTAGTCCAAAGAGGAGGGAGAAAGGCAGTCATTTGATGTACGAAGGAATATTATGTGCAGAGGAAGCACTCGTTCTGTGTTGCTGCAGAAAGCATACTCAGGCTCAGAGGTAGATGTTCAAGGCGGCAGATCCTGCCTGAAGGTCAGAAACAGCTTCTAAACCCCTAGAATCTGGCCGCCTTGAGGGATGAGACCAGAAGAGGAGGTATATAGACAGCAACTGCAAGGCCACCTGTCAGGGCCTGGGGTGGGAAGTGTGCGCCTGGTGGGAGTGGCCTTTGTGCCTTTTCATGCTCCGGTAGTCCATGTGCCATGAACGGGATAAAATCTGCACATTTCATTCTGCCCTGCAGATGATTCAACAGACCTGACATTTGACTTCATCTCTTTTTTATTTCTTTTTCTTTCTTTCTTTAATCTGAAAATTCATGCACTTGGGACTTTGTAAAAAATTTGTAAAATGAAGTAGGTCAGTACTTATGATTAATATTAAATGTTTGAAGTGTGTTTATTAAATTACTTAGATATAGAAGACCTTATGGTTGCCAGGAACAAATAACTATTATTGGTAGGTTAGTCTGAAGCAAATTGTCATGGCTAAAACAAGCTGGTGTGTGCCCAGCTGGCATGGCTCAGTGGTTGAGCGTTGACCTATGAACCAGGAGGTCGTGGTTCAATTCCTGGTCAGGGCACATGCCAGGGTTGTGGGCTCGATCCCCAGTAGGGGGCAGGAGGCAGACTATCAATGATTCTCCCTTTCCCTTCCTTTCTCTGAAATCAATACAAATCTATATATAAAAAAAATAATAATAAGGGCCCTAGCCCGTTTGACTCAGTGGATAGAGCATCGGCCTGTGGACTGAAGGGTCCTGGGTTTGATTCCGGTCTAAGGCACATGCCCAGGTTTTGGGCTCGATCCCCAGGAAGGGCATGCAGGAGGCAGCCTATCGAGGATTCTCTCTCATCATTGATGTTTCTATCTCTCTTTTTCTTCCTTCCTCTCTGAAGTCAATAAAATATATTTTAAAACTAAACATAAAACCAGCTGGTGCGCACATGAAAGTCATCATTTCAAGCTAAGAGGAAAAGAACATTCCCAGAGAAACCAAAGCTCCAGAGGAGCAGGCACTGGCCACTCACACGATGTTTTCTTTTCCTGTGTGAATTGGAAGAGAAGGCCAGAGAAAATGGAGGGATTGGATGTTTCTCCTCCTGGGGTAGTTGGACAGTGTGTACTCAATCACATTCACGTTATGGAAATAGGACCCCACAGGCAAGAAAATAACCTGGTGATGTAGCCTGTGGTCAGTGATGGGGGGGGGGGGGGCGGGGATTGAAGGGCGAGGGGAGTTGGAAGAATTGTGGGAGGAGTGATGGCTGGAACAGGATTCCCATTTGGAATGGGAACTGCGAGTAGGAATTGTCTCCACGCCATCGGAATCTGGGGGCGCAGCTCGAGGGGAAGATGGGGTGATCCAAGCGCTCTGGGGCCGCAGTGATGGAGGTTTCTGCTTCCTGGGCACGAGCTAGACGCAGCATAGTCCCCCCGGGCTTTGTTGGTAGAGAGAGAAGATTTATTCTCTCCCACCCCGGTTCTCATGTAGTGGGTCCCTAGCGGTATGGACTGACTTAGCAGCCAGACTTCTCTGAAAATAAACTTGCTGGTTAATATTGAGCCCGAAAAATGCTTCTCCCTCCTGCTCCTCCCCCTCATCTTGGCTGAGTTGGTAGTTACGATGGATGGTGAGGTCTCATAGGTGAGTGAGTTGAGCTTTGTGGGGTTTTGCTTTTGGAGGAAAAAAGCCGAGTCAAAGAGCCTGATGGCAGGCCCTAAACTGTCGCTTGACATATGGGGCCTAATGATCTCTGCGGGGAGATGCCATTCCGTGGGCAGTGACGCTTCACTCTGAGGTCTGCCTTCATGGACTAATGCACCTCTCGTTGCTCTTTCCTTTGGGGAATGACACAGCGAGCACAGGCCACCAAAAGGAAACGCCAAGCGTCCAATGAGGCTCCCCCAGCCAAACGGGGGAATGCGGCGTCCTCTCTCCCCGCCAAGAAAACCGCTGCTAAGCCAGCGCAGAGGGGCCTGAAGGGGAAGGCGCAGAAGGTGTTTTCTCGGAAGAAGGCTTTGGCTGGTGCGAGTGAGAAAAGCCAAGAGCAGAAGCCGGGCGTTAAGACTTCATCGTTGTTTAAAAACAACCCTGAGATTCCGGAGCTCCCCAGGTACGCCCAGGGCAGCGCACCTCGGGAGGAAAGGGCTGGTGGACTCTGCCTTTTTTTTTGTTAGTGGGAACTCACACCCGATTTTGTTCGTCATTTGCAGACCTGAGGTCAAGCAGGTGCAAGAAAAGGTGTTTTCTTCAGATGCTTTTCATGAGCTGGACCTCCACCCACATCTGGTAAGTTCCTCTCTGTGGTTCAGAGGGTCGCTGGTTTGGTGGACTTATTCATGCTGAACGTCTGAAAGGACAGCCTAGGGAGAGAGACATCGCCGCTCAGGGGCTCTGCTCCCAGTTACCGTGTGAGCTCAGATCGGTAAGCACTCTTCCAGGGCAGTGCGGCGCGCGGCGAGCTTAGCCGCTCACTGTGTCCCCTTCCCCCTCACCCGTTCCCTCCCCAGTTCAGTTTAGGACTGAGATCCGTTTACAGGGCTTTAACTCAGCCTCCTCATGACTGGGTAGATGTGACTTTGAGGCTCTCTGGGCACAGATGTCACAGTGGCCATAAGGGGGGACTGAGCTGCATCTTGCTGCTAAGGAACGTCTATGGTTATAAAGAATCGAAGGAGAAAGAGACTATTTTAACGTGCATTTTCTATAAACAAATGAACCCTTTTTTCTTTCCCATGACTGAGTTTGCCATGCTTTATGAGAAAGGAGAGGAAATCCATGAACTTCAGGGATTCCCTTTGCTCGCATGGTCCTGGCTTACCTCCTCCTTCAGGGTGGGTCACACAGCCCGTTGGCTCACCCACAGGTCTGAGCAGGGTTTCTCAGCCTTGCGGCGGCGCGCATATTGGGGTGATAGCTCACTGTAGGGTGTTGAGCGGCATCCCGAGCCCCTGCTCACTTGATGCCGGTAGCGCCCCTCCCACAGTTTTAACAACCAGAGATTTCTCCAGGGGTTGCCTCATTGGGCAGAATCACCCCCTGCTGAGCACCACCGTGGTAACCAGTTTCATCTGTGGTGGGGTTTTTTGGGTTGTTTTTTTGCATCCTTATTTGCAAATATAAATATATTTTTATTTTATATAAATTTATACTAAAAGTTTGATAGTTAAAGAATATATATATATATATTTTTTTCTTCTCTTTCAGATTTCCACACTAAATACAGTCTTGAACATATTTCATATGACCAGGTAAGAGTTCCAGGCGAAGCCTGATGTTCTTAGGACTTAAGTGGGTAAAATTGTATGGAATCTGAATTGTCTGTGGAAGACTGAGCCAATTTGTGTGTTAGTGTTAGAGAACAATGCCAGGTTGTTGGCTGTTGAGGGTTCAGCCTGTCCCTCAGCCCCTCGGTTTCTCCACCTGCCAAATGGGGAAACCCTTACCTCTAAACTGTAGGAGGTCTCTGGCCTGGAAGATGGTCTGCATAAGACCTCACTGCTGTTCGTGCTTCCCTGAAAGTAATTTGTTAAAAATACAGAATGTCTCGTGCAGTTTCTTGGTAGTAGGATATAGTCAACCTAAAAGACAGACGTGAATATGTGGTTGGGTGTAATGGGATACGAAAAACTTAAAAAAGGTTTGTGACTAACGAAGACTCCCAGAGGCGAGAGTCCTCTCTGAGTGTGTGTGCTTCTATAGGTAAAAATAGGAATGTTAAGAATAAAGGAAGCACCCTCACCATTTGTTCAGTTTTGTCGACCCACTTTAAATGGTTCCTCTCCCCTTTCGGTTGCTGGTGTTTAAATGCGCAAGTGGACACATGCCCCGTGTGTCCCTGCAGTTATGTCCTGGTTTTCTGCAGCGTGAAGCAGTTCCTGGCTCTCGGGGGCTCACAGCTTCCTTTACTCCTCTGTGCGGGGATCTTCCCCTACTGTGTTGCCGCCTTTCGTGTTCCCTCTTCCAGAGGCAAGAGGGCACGGCAGATGCTTTCACCAGCGCCAGGCTGTCGTCATGCAGTCCCGTTTTTGTTCTTAGCTGGTATGATGGGACGGCCACTCTCTGGCTTGCCTCAGCATTTCAGCTAAGTTCCAGGACCGTAGCTGAGGGTTTTATTCTCCTGCTCATGAGAAGTGTCTCAGCATCTTCACTTGACTGTTTCGGTAACTTCTAAGGAGGCAGCCGGTAGAGCAGCGCATGGGCAGTTGCCTTCGGTGTGTCCTGCATGTCTGCCTGTAAACGCACGTGGGTGATGTGTGTGGCTAACCATGTTCTTTCTTTTGGGTGGCCCAAGTGTCCAGAAGCAAAGCATTCCTGCGCTGCTGGAAGGCAGAGACGCTCTCGTGAGATCTCAGACGGGCTCAGGTCAGCCGTCATTTAACTTCTGCCCTCCCCCCAGAAGCCCAGCCACAGTCCTGGCCTGGGTTATAGAGAGAGGTGTCTGCTCGTGGTAGTGGCTGCTTTGTTGTGTTTGAGGAAGGGGAGGCCATGCTTTCGATCAGAGCCCTGGATTAATTCACATAGTGATAGGAAGGGGGCGATGGACAGAGCCGTGCGAGTCCAGTTCTGCTCTCGTTCCTCAGAGCCTGACTCAGGGCTGGGCCAGGTCCCCCGATCTGTGCCAGAGCTGCCCGTCCTTACTCCATTGGCGATGCGTATTTTCTTCTGCTATTACACAGAGCTCTGGCCCGAGCACACACTGCTGGGATGCAGTCGGTTGCTCAGACATGGAACCTGCTTTGGCATGTTCCAGAACAACTCAGGCATGTTCTCTGACCCTCTTGTGCCCTTCATCAGCTCTTCTCCACTCCCCCCAACTCAGCCGTCATTCTGGGGAGGAAACCCCAAGTTGTCGCCATCCTGGGTTTCTCCCAGTCTCTAGCGGCTGGGGCTCGCCGGGCCCCTCCCACTCTAGCACCACAGAGGACTTTACTTGCCACAGAGTGCATTCGAGAGGTTAGACACTGCAGAGGAGGCGCTGTCTAGCTTCTGGAGACAGCCCTCAAGCTTTTGTGTAGTTTAGGGAATGTATCACCGAGTCCCGTTAGAGCAGTGGCTCTCAACCTTCCTAATGCCGCGACCCTTTAATACAGTTCCTCATGTTGTGGTGACCCCCAGCCATAACATTATTTTCGTTGCTACTTCATAGCTGTAATGTTGCTACTGTTATGAATCGTCATGTAAATATCTGATATGCAGGATGTATTTTCATTGTTACAGATTGAACATAATTAAAGCATAGTGATTCATCACAAAAACAATATGTAATTATGTGTTTTCCGATGGTCTTAGGCGACCCCTGTGAAAGGGTCGTTCGACTGTGAAAGGGTCGTTCAACCCCCAAAGGGGTCGCGACCCACAGGTTGAGAACCGCTGCGTTAGAGGAAGGAAGGAGCTGGAGCTGCAGTTTTGTAGGAGGACCGAGTGTACAGAGGAGTGTGAGACAGTGGGCTCCGTTTCTGCCTCTTGGCCGTGGGCTTGCTCTTCCCTTTCCCCAGATTCAGGGCTGCCCGTGGGGAGCAGGGCTGCTTTCCTTACTGTCATCCACAGGGGCTTTGGTTTTAATGTCTTTTTTACTTTTTTAAAAGGTAAAACTCTTGCCTATTGCATCCCTGTGGTCCAGTCCCTTCAAGCAATGAAAACAAAAATACAGGTGAGTGTGAGTGTGCTTCTCCATGTTGGTCATAGCGCATGGGAACCATCAGGCGGAAGCACGGCCGTGATACCGGGACCGGAAGACTCCGCCTTCCCTTCGCATTGTTTCCTCGCCTGTTTACTGCATTTCTCACAGCGGCTGCCTCCGCGGGCTGCCCAGCATGCAGCAGAGCAAAGGGATTCACCACCATCATAGTAGGTCTAACAGGACGTATGTCAGGTGCTGCCAGATGCCTTGCCTGTGTGATCTTGAATCTTTAGCTGCCTTGGCCCCACCGAGTTGTCAGTATTACTGTTACCCCAGGTTTACATGAAAAATGGAGGCTTGGGGAAGTTCAGTAACTTACCCAGACCATGTGGCGAGTAATGGGGAACTGCATTCCCACCTCAGGTCTCTGTGGCTCCAGAGACAAGCTCTTCTGCCTAAGAAAGGTGAGCGGTATATGTAAATGTGGTTTGCATGAATAGTAGATGTGGAAATAAGCACCCAATTAGTGAGTTTGACAATGGGCCGCCTGGTGTTGAGCATGTTCTAGAACAGGGGTGGGCAAACTTTTTGACTCGAGGGCCACAGTGGGTTCTTAAACTGGACCAGAGGGCCGGAACAGAAGCATGGATGGAGTGTTTGTGTGAACTAATATAAATTCAGAGGAAACATCATTACATAAAAGGGTACGGTCTTTTTTTTTTTAAGTTTTATTCATTTCAAATGGGCCGATCCGGCCCGTGGGCCATAGTTTGCCCACGGCTGTTCTAGAAGCTTCCTTCAGTTGTGAAACAGTTAGTGCCTGGGCCACAATTGGGTCCTTGGTGTTCCCTGGGAAGCCAGTTAACCGCCACCTTCCACAGACATAGGTGTCATCTCAAAACCCGGCCCAGAATCCCACAAATACAGCCCTGCTTCGTCTCTAAAGGAAACAGCGAGGTCAGAAATAGGAGTCAGATAAGAGCTAATTGGTTCCTTTTTTCTCGGTTTGGACATGCACGATTAGATGTGTATCGAGCCCATCTGATCGTTGAGTGCCAAAATAAATAATGAGAGTGTTGGATTATAGCCCATAAACTTAAACAAACTCCATGAGTCCAAACTGATAAGAAGAAATGCCTGAGTAAATAAGTGGCGGAAGGGAAAGCCCTTCCTCACAGTAGAAATGCGAAGGAAAATGTGGACGAGAGATGGAAATAGAGCAGCAGCCTTTGGCAGGCAGGGCCACAGGGGGAGTGTTCCAGGCAGGAATCGTCACAGCTGCTAACTGAGTGGGTGGAAGTGATGAAATGGTCTATTTACATGGTTTCAGACCAGCTCCCCACAAGGCGCTCTTAATCACAAAGGGAAACTAACCTTCCAGCGGGAAGCCTGGCTGCCTCCTAACCAAGCCATCCAGCTGGCGCCACCGGCGCTAAGACGTGGGCCTCACGGCCCTTGTGTGCTGCAGGTCCGGAGGACGCAGCTCCGCTTCAGTAGTCTTCTTGCCCAAAGCACATAACCTGAGTTTAATCATAAGCAAACATCAGCCAAACCCAAATCGAAGGATGTCCTACAAAACAGCTGACCAGTACCCTTGTTCAAAAGCATTAAGGTCACAAAAGACAAAGAAATACCACAGAACGACCCAGAGTAAGAAACAAAGGAGACGTGACCACTCAATGCAGGTCTGGTCCGGAGCTGGATCCTCGTCTGGGGAAAGGACGGTGGTAGGTCAGTTACTGGGATTTGAATGAGGCCTATAGGTTAGTTAATAGTGTTTAATCAGTGTTCATTTCCTGGTTCTGATCATTGTCCTGTGATTTTGAGAATCCATACCATATGAGGCAGCGGGGAGAAGGGTTTCAGGGAGTTCTTTGTACTACTTTTGCAATTTTTATTGGTTGGTTGATTGATTTTAGAGAGAGAGAGAGAAACATCGATTTGTTGTCCCACTTATGCATTCATTGGTTGATTCCTGTATGTGCCCTGACGGGGGATTGAACCTGCAACCTTGGTGTATTGGGATGATGCTCTAACCAACTGAGCTACATGGCCAGGGCTGTGCATTGTTTTGTAAATCTGAAACTATTTCAAAATGAGTCAGTTTAAATTTTATTTAAACTATGTAAATGATTGTAAATGAATAAAACAGAAGTCATACACAATCATCCAAATTATGGAACTTTCTAGAGCCAGTAAAAGTGCTATTTTTTTTTCAAGTATTATTTGTGAACTGTGTTCTTGCCATGTAATTGAAATAAGGCAGGTTACAAACAGGCACATAGCGTATGACTCCAACTTCGTCAATGATGATGAAATCTGTGTGTATATAAAAAAGATGAGAAAGATGCCTATCAGACGATGAATGCTAGCTTTCTCTGAAGGGGTGAGTGAGATGTTTATTTCCTGCGGTGACTGCCTTTTCCTTCCCGTGGCACTCAGTGAGAGTCCGCAGTACTCCTTAGCGTCGACGGGGAACAGAGAGGAGAAGCAGGTCATCATGACAGTGCGGTGGAGCCTCCCCCCTGACATGCTCCAGAAATGCCAGGGCAAGGCGTTAGTTCACTCAGAGTTGGGGAGTTGGGGGGTATTGGAGCTGGGGTGGGTCCTGCAGTGCTAGCCCACCTGTCTGGTCTCATAGATGGGGACTGAGGACAGGGGAGGTTAGATTACACACTGGGGAGCCCGTGCGGTGGGCAGCTGTGCTCCAGTCTGAGCGTGACTCTAGGCAGACCATTTCACCCTCTGCCTCCCTGACTTCACCGGTGCCATAGCGACTGCAGTGCCTCTCTCCTGGGGTGAGGAGCAAGTCAGCTGGGTGCACATGGAGGGCTGAGAATGGTGCCTGTCACCTGGGAACCACCTGCTCGTTGTGGGGGCTGTCATCATCATCAACACGCTCCCAGGGCTGTTTAAAGGGCAATGGCTTGATTCACTTATATTCAGAACCATTAACAAGCTAGGCAGTTGCTTTTAATTTGCTCAACTATTTTTAATATCACTAACAACTCATCCTATTCAAGACTGAAATATTCTGTAGAGAGAGTTTTCCAAGCCCAAATTTAACTCACTGATTTCAAGTAATACTCATATAGACCCTTGGAGTTCATTGTAAAATGATTTGACCTGTAAAAATCATATGTGGAGGGAGCAGCAAATTCAAGGCCCCCAACGGAGTCTTCCATTACTTTGGGAATGAAACGGGAAAGGGCTGCTCTGCTGTGCACACTCGCTCAGTCATTTTGGCTCTGATTCTTCTGACATCACATCCATCCTCTTCACTCACTTCTGCTCGGTGAGGAATTGCTTTTTCTTTCTTTCCGTCTGTGTAGTAACACCTTTGAAATGTCAGAATCTCCTACCGTCACACTGGGGCACGTCGCTACCGTTGTACTAACATGTTTACCGTTCCTCGCCCGGCTTCAGCGCAGGCTCGCCAAGTTGATGTTGAGTACAGGCGGCTCTAGTTTGAATTCCAAATCCTTTTCTCCTTGTGGGTAAATGTCTCCTATGCAAAACATGCAAACCATGCTTGTGATTGAATTGGCGGCTAAGTCTGCACTTAGCTGCTGCTCTCATTGTTTCGATCCAGTCCCTGTCTGTGAGCGCTTTCGAGGCGCAAGGCACTGTTGCTTTCGGGGCCTTTATCACATTACTTCGTTTTCTTCTTGTATTGTTATTATTATTACTCTTATTACTTTTGGATATAATGTATATGGCAAATAAATGTAAACAGTACCCAAAAAATTGAGAGTGAAAGTCAAGTCATTCCCTCCCCTGCCTTCTCTGAATGCGACGTTCTGTCAGGATGCAGTCGTCCTTGTCACCAGTCTCTTAAGAGCATGTCCTCTTAGAGTATGCCCTGCCAATAAAGCAAATGTGCACGTGTACAGGTCCTCTTGCTTCTCTAATGGAAGCATTTGTCTGTTTGCTACACAAACGGTGGCTTGTTCTGCACGCTGTCCTGTGCTTCGCTTTTGTTCACTTAGTGTGTGTGGGGATAGTTCTTATCTGTTGAAGAAGCCTGTGTTTAAAGGGCTGCCTCGTATTCCACTGTCTGTACAGTAAATTACTGAGTCATTCCTTCATTGGCGGGATGTACATTTTGTTCAGTATTTTACTACAAACAGGGCTGTTATAAATACTCTACATTCTGGAAAATACAAGTTTATGTACAGGTACTGGTGTATCTTTTAGAGAAATTCCCATAAGTGGAATTTGCATTTTTATTTGCTAGATAATGTCAAAATTGACCTTTAAAGGAGTTATACCAATGTGCACTCTCACCAACATTGTACGAGAGTTCCTATTTGCCCATGCCCTTATCCACACTATCAGCTGTTTAATTTTGCTCATTTGACAGGGGAAAAATACTGTATTATAGTTTCAATTTGAATTTCTCCTAGGAGTAAAGTTGAACATCTTTTCATATGTGTAAAAGCCATATTTTGAATTATTTCCATAAATTAACTTCTTGTGTCCGCCTCCATTTTTCTGTTTGAGTTTTCTTTTATGTTTTTAGTTTTAGTTGAATTATAGACCTTCCTGATAAGATAGGGAAATTGGCCTTTCTCTTACGTGTAGGGTAATTTTCCCCACATTGTTATTTGACTCTTGATTTTGTTTGGGTATTATTTTTTTTATTTTTAAATTAAAAAAAAATTTTTTTTTTGATTTTTTTACAGAGAGGAAGGGAGAGGGATAGAGAGTTAGAAACATCGATGAGAGGGATGTTCTGCACGCCCCCTGCTGGGGAGGTGCCTGCAACCAAGGTACATGCCCTTGACCCGAATTGAACCTGGGACCCTTCAGTCTGCAGGCCAACGCTCTATCCACTGAGCCAAACCGGCTAGGGCAAAATTTCAAATTTTTATGTGATTAAAATTTATCGGTGTTTTATAGTTTCTGAGTTTTATGTCATCTATAAAAAGGCCAACTTAATTCCAACTTAATTTTTTCTAAATTTTTTTCTAAAATGACCTTTGAATAATCCATTCTTTCCCTGATATAAAATGTTCCTTATTTCCTAAATTTCTCCATGTATTTGAGTCTACTCTAGACCCTATTTACTGTTGTAAATCTCTATATATCAGTGTCAATTTTTCAAAACTACTGTGGATTTAAATTGCTCAAATATCTGATGTTTTTCAGAAATGTTTTCGTTAAACATTTTTTTATATGAACTTGAAATCAGCTTGATTGCATTTATTTATATGTGCATATAAATGCCCATATGCATTTTTATTAAGATTGCATTACATTTATGGATTGATTAGGAAGAATTCGCTTATATATAATATTATCCAAGAACAAGATACATCTTTCCATTTATTCAGGTTTTATTTTATGCTCCTCGGAGGTATTTTAAAATTCTCATTATGTAGATTTTATACATTTCTGTTAAGTTTATCTTTTTTGTTGCTATTATAACTGATTTTTTTCTCCTTTCGATTTCCTCATTTTCTGTTAAAAGCAGTTTATTTATATATATATAATTTTGCATTTAGCTAGTTGACTTGTCTTTTTTATAATAGAGCTTCAAGTGATTTTTTTTTAGGATAAAATATTTGCTGATAATGACAGTTTTACCTTCTGCTTTCCAGATTTTTAGACATTCTTTCTCTTGTCTGATTGCATGGGCCAGAGCCTCTAGAACAGTGTTCCATGATAATGAGGGAGGTGGGCACTCTTGTCCTTTTTCTTAATCTTTACCTGAGGGTATGTTTTTACTGATTTTCATAGAGGAAGGGAGAGAGAAACATCAATTGGTTACCTCCCATATGCACCTTGATGGGAGCAAACTTGCAGCCTTTGTGTGTACAGGATGATGCTCCAGCTGGCTGGCCGCCAGGGCTTGTCACTGTTCTTGGCTGAGACGGCTAGTGATGTGTGACCAGTGGCCACTCTTAGGTCCTGGTGTCTGGCGCTTAGGACCTTCATTCAGAGCATTTCTTTCCTTCTCTGTCCCCAGCGCGGTGACGGCCCCTACGCGCTGGTGCTGGTGCCGACGAGAGAGGTAAGCGGTCTCACGTGCGGATGAGTGTTGTCAGTGACGTCCTGTTGGATTTGTAAGTGGAGTCCCCGTTTTCCTCTCCGCCGCGCCAACCTTAACTTGAGTCCGTGTTTGGCTACAGATCACTTCACATTGCCCTTTCCTTTGCTCGGGGACCAACCTCTGGTCCTCAACCAGAGAAACTCAGCTTCTCTGAAAAATCATGTTTCCTTGTCATCTAAACACTGACCACACTATACATTTCTGTCCTTTTAAAAGAAACCTAAATAATCTCATTTTTACACCCCAACTTCATTAAAAAATAAAAGCAATCGGCCCTGAAAATGAACTTTAAAAAAAAAAGAAAGAAAGCTACCGTGCCAACAAATGTTCCTGAAAGTTAAGCTTCCTGGTATCTGTCTTCTTCCCTGGTGGAAATCTCTTTGGTCTGGTATATTTTATTTGCCTGGGAAGCAATTTCCGATGAAGGTATATTTTCTCTGTCAGATGTAACCATTCCCCGCAGAGACTTGCTCATGGCGATGGAGGGTCCACTCACCTCACGTCCTGCAGAGCCCAGTCCGCTCCATCCAATGGAGGAGCGGGCGTGAGGCTATTTAAGTTTTGACCACAGCGAACTGGCTGTTTCCTAGGGCGCTTCGTGAATCCTGAACACGTGGGAACTATATCTTTGGGCAAAGGGATTATGGGCAGGTTTTATGGAACCTCATTCGTTTTCATTCGGTGCCGCAGGGCTTGTTGGTTTTCTTTCCTTTATACGTCTCTGGGTCCTCAGCTGCGGCCCTGGCATGTTCCTGGGCACAGTCACATCAGCCTCACAGCCCGAAGGCCAGGCTGCGGCGTCACTGCTCCCTGCCCCCTTCGTGTGCTTACACCTCTTTCTAAAGAGCCGAGTCCAGGTCGGCGCCTTCCCTTTCCCTTGTGCTGCGCTGTGCGCTCTGGGGACAGGAGCCAGCAGAGGGAGCACGCGGCTGTCTGTGTCCATCCCAGAAATAGATGTGCTGTGGCTGCCCGCACTGCAAACTGACAGCTCTCACAGTCAGTCTCACACAAGTATATGTATATGTTTCCAGTCGATTCTGTGCTAGGATTAATTTTTTCTTGAATCATAACTGGAGGTCCAGGTTTGGATATGAATCACCCTACTGGTCCATCATCTAAATTTCTCATAAAGGAAGAAGATGCCTTGCTCATTATAACTTCTTAATATTTACAGCTGGCGCTACAAAGCTTTGACACTTTCCAGAAACTGCTCAAGGTAAGGCCGCCAGGACTTCAGCTTTACCTTTTTTTCTTGACTTTTTGAGGAAAGAGAACTATGCCGCAGCCTTTTCTTTGTTCTCAGAGAGCTCGCAGTTAGTCTCTTCCCTCCGTCGGGTGTCTCTGCTCCTCCCAGGAATAACGTGGAGGCTTCCACTGGTCTGATCCTCACTAACGACCTGCTTGTAGCTGAGCAGGAGTACTGGTGTTTCCTGGAGCTTAAAGTTCTGTCATTGATCATAGGCACTAGCAAGCCACATACATTCACAGGTATCGCAACCTTGAGATGGTCCAGTGCAAAGCCACTTGAAAGGCTGCATGTGGGTTTAAGAACGAGAGAGGCTCCAAGGCCAAGCCGGCCAGCCCACCTGATTTGGCTGAGAATTGCCCTGTCCGCCCTTCATCGGGGTGGGGGTTGTGCCTAGGTTTCATGTTAGCCCCAGAGATCACACACCTCACTGAGATGTGTGTTTCATTCAGGCTCCGGGGAGCAAGGCAGGGACTCACTGGAACCATTTCCAGAGCTCCCGTTTCCGTCTGTGTTGGGAGGAGGTCACCCAGCCTTACATCCGGCTCTTGCTGACAGTGACCTGGTATGGCAGTGCTAACAGTCCTGTCTACACAGTAACACCTCTTACCTGCGAAGCCCGACCCCCCTCCCAATTCCCTTTTTATAAAATTTTTATTGATTTCAGAGAGAAAGGGAGAGGGAGGGAGATAGAAACATCAATGGGGAAAGAGAATCACTGATCAGCTGCCTCTTGCACACCCCTACTGGGGGTCAAGCCTGCAACCTGGACAAGCACCCTAGACCGGAATTGAACCGGGACCCTTCAGTCCATAGGCTGACGCTCTATCCACTGAGCAAACCGGCTAGGGCCCTTATTATTATTTTTTAATAGATTTTTTATTGATTTCAAAGAGAAAAGGGGAAAGGGAAAATCATTGATAGTTTGTCTCCTGCCCCCTATTGGGAATCGAGCCCGCAACCTGGGCTTGTGCTCTGACCAGAAATTGAACACTGACCTCCTGGTTCATGGGTCGATGCTCAACCACTGAGCCACACGGGCTGGGCCCCCTCCCGATGCCTTTGAGGAGAAGGAGGATAGACCTGTCTCTGTTTGTAGGAAACAGGCTGTGCATTGATTCTGGTCTGATGTCTTTCTGTAGCCATTTACCTGGATTGTGCCTGGAGTGTTAATGGGAGGAGAGAAGAGAAAGTCTGAAAAAGCCAGGTAGGGGAGGTTTAATTCCTTTTTTAATCTGTCTGTTCTGTCTTCCTATTCAGTAAAACTCAGTCCTAAACATGGCCCCATGTGCAGGGAAAGACGGAGTCAGCAGGGAGCAGTCACCTTTAGACAGGGCTGTTTTTAAGGTAGTCCTGAACCTGTGGGGTTCCCTTCTGATCTGGTCATGACCTTCTTTTTTTAATAATGTTACATGCAATAAACATTAGTATTTCAAGAAAATGATTTCAAATATAATAATGTTACATGTGATCACGACCTTCTTAACTCCACCCACCCGGTCCCCACATTCCCCCTTATTCAGTGCACCTCTCTTGGTGACAGTCTGTGTGGGTACATTGGAGTTTGGGTGTTTTTTATAAATCAAGATCATAAGATTACATATTGCTTTGCACCTTGCTTATTACACCCCAAAACATTGATTCCTAATTCTGTGTTAGAACTGGTCATTATGTCAGTAGAAAATGGTTGGGACAAGTAAATTCCAAATGGCCTGCATTCTTTTAAAACAACTTGCATTGGATTTTAGGGTAGTGCTTAGTAGTAACACCCAACTATGTGTGTGGCCTGTTCCTGAGGAGGAAATGTTAATGTGGAAATGTGAAAGTATTGGCTAGGCTTGCTTTCAGCTTGGATGACAGTGGCAGCACACAGCGGTGCCACCAGCGCGGTGGGAGGTGTGCTTTTCTTTCACAAATAGTTAAGCCTGGCGGTAGCCCGGCCGAGACCGACATGTGCTCCAGGGTTGGGACTCGGGCTCCTCCTCTTCTTGTGCCGTGACACGAGGCTTCCGTTTCCAAGGTCACCTCACTGTAGCCATCCCACCCTCAGCTAAGGCCCACAGCGGGAGCAAGATCATCAGCCCTCCCTCCACAGGGGCTCATGGCGTTTGTCTCTCTGTCCTCCTGTCTTGTTCTGGAGCGTAGGCTGGGATCATGCTTACCTGCAGGGGAAGCTAGAAAGCATACTCAGCTAGAAACTGGAGGCTTTTATTACCAGGCTAATGGGCGAAGGATGTTTGGAGAGTCATAAATTAGATTTATTGTACCTCGTCTATGGAGGCAGAGCTAGGCCTGTTACATGGAAGTCGCAGCCAAGGTTCAGTATAAGAACATTCTGGGATAACTGATTCAGCTATGAGGTTCCCTGGCAAAGAAGCCTCAGGAGCAAGCTAGACGACCATGTGTCTGGAATGTGCTAGAAGGGACCCGTGGACAGGTAAAAGGCATCGGATTACATAGTCAAGATTCCTTTCAAAGTTAAGGTTCTATGATTTTAATGTAATTGCAGATCTTAGCAATTCTGTTCTATAGGAGAGAAACTTCAGAGAAAAATGAAAACTCTGACCTTTGTATCCACTTGTCATCACGTTTGTCATGATTCAAGCTGTGGCACATGCTGCTAGACACGAATCTGTCTCCTTCGCCTTTTCCTGTGTCTTCCACTGGTACAGCCCAGTGTGATTTACTGTCTCCTCTGGCATGTGATTTTCCACAGGCTCCGCAAAGGAATCAATATCCTCATCTCCACTCCTGGACGTCTGGTGGATCATATAAAATCCACAAAGAACATTCATTTCAACCGCATCCGCTGGCTGGTTCTGGATGAAGCCGACAGGTGAGGCTGATCTGGAAGCAGGAAAGGCACAGGGAAGGCTGTGTCTGTGTCCATCTGACTGCAGCCTGGGTTACATGGCGTCTGCATTAGATTTAACTTTCTTCTCCTGAAACCGCAGAATCTTGGATCTGGGCTTCGAAAAGACTATCACGGTGATACTCAACGCGATCAACGCAGAGTGCCAGGAACGACAGAACGTCTTGCTGTCGGCCACTCTCACGGAAGGTGAGCGAAGAGAATGGATGCCGCTGCCAGGGGCCTGTGTGCCGGCACTGGCCCTCAGCCTCAGGCCGGGGAGGAGTCTCAGGGTGCCCCCGGGGCACGGGGAGAGGGCCAGCAGTTGGGACCGTGCTGCAGGAGCTCCTGCAGGTGGGGAGGACGGGGAAGGCTAGCGGCCACCACCTATGCCTGCGTGAGCCTTTCACTGCTGCCATGACCCTCGGAGGGCAGGACTCTGGTCCTGACAAGGACGGCCTCTCACCACGCGCATTGTTACTGCGATCAGCCTGCCTTTCTCCTGAAGAGGCGATGGACCTAAAAGTACTCCTGTCCTTTAAGCTTGTTTCTGTTTTTCATCCTCGTGAGATGGAGCTTCTTAGCTGCCTTTCGTAGATGGGACACTGTGCGTGGCCAAGTGGCAGCGCTCTGCACCGACCCCGCAGCAGGCCCTGTCTCAGCGACAGGACAGCTTCTGTCTGGTGTCTGCTTCACTCGGCACACCAGCTGCCACCAGTACGCCTCATCAGCACTTCTGAGTGTATTCCCGAGAACATTAATTTTCAGAGATAATCCATGGAAAAGGGATTCTGTGCTCAAAAAGTTTGGGAAATGCCACACATGACCTCCTCTTGGAGATGCGTGGTGCACCTTCACACAGTAAAGGTCCTGAGAAGGCCTGCAAAACCTTGCGGAAGAATTTGTGGGACCTTTTTATCCGGGTTTTCATAACTTGATCACAGAACCCTTTGGGGGATGGGGGGCAGACCGCTGTTAATGTCCCTTTCAGTGGTTTCCCACAGGTGCGAGCTTAGAAAGGCTGGTGTGAGGGGTTGTTGGGCTGTGGGAAGAAATCCGGGGGTCCACCCACCAGATAGACAATTGGGCAGATCAGCACGGCCCTTGGTGAAACCCGCCAGCAGTTGCCTAGTTGCCTGAGTGTGCGGTGTGCCCGGGCATGCATAGGGACCAGTTCCACTGTGTGTGCTGTCCCCTGTTTTGACTTTTTCACTTTCTCCCAGGTGTGACACGGCTCGCTGACATCAGTTTACACAACCCAGTCAGCATTTCTGTCCTGGATAATAGCTTCGATCAGCCTTACCTGACAGATGAAGAGTCTTCTGACGACTCTGACTCACTAAGTGATGACGACTATGATGATGACGATGAGGATGACGATGATGATGATGATGATGAGCTGGACGGCTTTGCAATTCCGGAGGGTCTTGAGCAGTATGTGGTCTTGGTTCCCAGCAAACTGAGGCTGGTCTGCCTGGCAGCCTTCATCCTGCAGAAGTGCAAGGTAGGATGGGCCCAGTCAGCTCCATTGAGGGGAGGCCTGTGTCGTTTGTATCAGGCATTGCTGGCAGCGGGTTGAGATGCGGTTTTCTGGCATAACTGCTGGTGGATGTAGTGTTTTAGGATTGTGGGAAAGCTTGGAGGTCAGTGATAGCCATTATGTTCAACCTGAAATCTGCCTTAAGTATCTTTCCTGGGACTGATGTTGGGAACAGCAGAGGTGGCAGGAGCATGATGAATGTGAGACAGAGCTAGGGGCCTGTGCTTGCGTTTTTAAAAGACACCCGGTGTTTGCGTATTTATTGCTAGTTTCGGCAGCACTTTCTCTGGGACATAGGGAAGCAGTAGGTGGAAGGCTTGAGAGTGAAGCTTCTAGATGCACTGGACGTGGCGTGTGTGCTGAGGCCTGAGAGGACGAAGAACAGCACTGATGTGCAGCCTTACCCTGAAGCATGCTCTGCTCAGGTGTGGGAGCGTGATCAAGGTCATGGCTGTCAGCTCCCTCTCCTGCAGTCTGGGAGCATGGAGCATCCGTGTTAATTTTGCAAGTAACTCCAAGCCGTCTGTCATCTCTTTCCAAACAGGGCCCGTGTGACTGTATTTTAGAAAGATACTCGTTGTAGTGTCACCTCATAACCCTGTGGTGGTTTCCCCTCTGTGTCCATGTAGTTTGAAACTGACCAGAAGCTGATCGTCTTTTTCTCGAGTTGCGAGCTGGTGGAGTTCCACTACCACCTCTTCTTCCAGACCCTGCTGGGCGGCGCGGCGTCAGGGCAGTTACCATCTGGCGGCCCGCGATTAACATTCCTGCGGCTGCATGGCAACATGGACCAGGAGGTGAGCAAGCCCGGGGCCCATCCAACTTGATCACGCCCTCCAGGGTCAGCACTGGCTCTCGCTGGGCTCGGGCAGGTGTCCCCTGAGGAGGGTGGCGCACGGGAACTGGACGCGGCCGCCCTGCCCGTGATGTGGGCGAGCGGAGCCTATTGTTCCGCCCGCCTGCTCCGGAGCTGGGCTCGTCCACCTGAGAGCTCGCAGGCCCTTGGCCTGCATCTACCTCAACCAGCTGTTAAGGCAACAGAGCACCACTAAGTAGCTGGCACTGGGGAAGGGTTTTGCCTTTTTAGTGCCCAGTGTGTAATTAGGGCTTGATGTCTTCAAATTAAGAGCATTAATGGAGCTAAATTGTGGCTCCCATATGGTACTGCTGAGCGTGGCTGCTGTCGTTGTCAACAAGATGCAGCGCTCTCGGCACTTCGGGTTGCGAGAGGGGCTGTGTGTCTCGCTCTGCCTCGGCTCTGAGTAACGTTTTTGTCCAGGAAGAAGAGTAGAACGTTTGCCTTGTTTTAGCTTCTAAGCTGCAAAACTCGGTCCATGGGGAGTTGGGGCGGAGCGCGGAGTGGGGTGAAGCCACTGCCTCGTGCAGGGAGGGACGCACAGGGCCTGAGATGGGAGCCATCTTGTCCTGGAGGCTGTTACCAGGCGGCTCCGAAAGGAGGAGGAGTGAAGAAAGGCCCCAAATGAGGGTGCGCTGGGACTAGAGCCACACTTAAAGTGGTAACATTCTCAGAGTATAGGAGACCATACAGGCCATCAAGTCCATTTCCCCTCCTGTTTTTGCTTTGGTGTGACAATTCAGGAAATGGAGGTTCAAAAAAGGGATTTTGCTCAAGGTCACTCAAGGACACAACTTCTTATTTGCCACAAGATAGCATAGTATTTCCCGACTGTCTCAGCCTTTGTGAATTTTATAAGCTCTTTCTTTTTACCTTGTGGATCCCTGAGTCAATCGAATTTGTTGATTTCATAATGCATTACCATTTATGGTGTTTCTCTCTCTCTCTTTTTTTTTTTAAATTAGTTTCCTGGTCCTCTGGGTCTGTTTCACCAGAGGCATGCTGCAGGGGAGTCTGGGGTGACGGAGGAGCTGGCTGTGGACTCGGAGGGATCTGGGAATTTGAGCAGATCACACAGAGTCAGATGTGTTCGGGCTCTTGTTGTAATGCCAGCTGTGTGCCCTGGAGGCAGCCTCCTGGTTCTAGTCCTGGCCTCGCTGTTCACTGGCTGTGTGACCTCAGGACACTCTCTCTGTGCCTCAGTTTCCATGTCTCTGAAATGGAGCCAGTAGTCGTATTTACTTCATGTGGTTGAGACAATTCATTGAGTTAATGCAGATTAAAGTGCTTAGCACAGAGCTGGCTCATAGTCAGTGCTCAGTAAATGTTAAGGGCCATTGTTAATGTTATTTCTCCTTCAGGAATAGTTCCGCTCTTTAGTTTGGTAATTGTTAATATTTTACTTATATTGTTTTATTGAGTAGCCTTCACAGCCTACCCATGAGTAGAGGATGGGAGGGAGTATCTGTATTTTATCTGATGAATCTGAGGTTAAGTGTCTCACCCCAGACTGAGCTAAAACAGCCCCAAGCACAGATTCCTGGCCACTGTTCCACATGACCTGTGGTCTCCCTAAATGAATGTCATGACCCCAACCAAGTTTACGGGCATTGGAGAGAAGTGAAGTTTGAAGTTGCTGCCTGGTGGTGGTGATGAAAGCTCAGGAATTAGGTTTCCTCCTCTCCCCAGACCTGGATCCATCCGGATGGGCTTTCAGGAACTGTTCTGATTTGCTTGGACACCACAGCCGTTAAATGGTCCCTTATAAACACTGCGCAGCAACCGGACCAACGCAGGCGTCCTCGGGAGGGTCTGAGCTCAGCTCCTGGCCAGCTCCCTGGGTCCAAGTGCAGTCAGCCCTGTGCTGTGTGTGGGTGTCCTTGGCAGTTCCTCAGCCCCGAGCCTCGGTTTCTCTGCCTGGAAAGGGGTGGTAATGGTACCTGCTCGGAGGGCTATGGGGATTGGATTCGTGCAGACGTGTAAAGCGTAGGCCAGCGTCTGGTACGTGGCTGCGCTCAGTGCACGCTGGTTGTCCGTGTCCACTGTCCTAAGCGAGGGGTCCCTGGGGGGGGGTCCCACTTCTGCGACAACACGTGCATGTGAAAGACGGCGGTGAAGTTCCCCTCGGAGACAGGGCTGCGCCTAAGTGGAGGGAGAGACATCCTTTTCCCCAAAATTGTAGTAATTTGGTCACTTCCCTCTTTTGTGGCGGACAGGTGGGCATGGCCACGGTCAGCTGCTTGCACCACTGGCTTTGCAAGTTCACAGAAAAGCCTTTAGGAACTCACCCAGAGGGAACAGTGATGTGCACAGGACTTGCCAATAAAGATTTTATCACAGATTATAACGGAGAACAGTCGGCCACAACCTCAGGGCCAACAGTGGGGCATCGGCCAGGTAAATGATGGCACACCCACCCTGCTGGTTGCTAACAGTGTCGCCACGAGAGAGGATGTGGTTTGGAAAGGTGTTCATGTCCTGTTGGTTTCTGATAAGAGTGTGTTGCTAGTAGAGGTCGTGTGGCCATCTTTCCAGAGCCCCTTCTTGGTGATGCTTTGCACAGGCCCGGGGCACGGGGTTGCCAGTGGCGGTGGTGTGCTTCAAGCAGTGGGAAATTGCGTTTTCTTCCTTCGTCTTAAATGTAATTTTCTGCAGTTAAAATACATGGGGTGTATATTTTTTTGACCTTTTTTTAAAAAAAAATCAGTCAACAAAATTCCCCTGCAGGAAAAGTGGGTTGTTCATCATTCCTCTCGCCCACCTGCAGGAAAGTGTGTCCCTGTGGACTGTCTCTGCTCCGGGGGGCTGATCTGGAGGAGGGGCCCGCCTGGCGCTGCCCTCCTGACACAGCCCAGAGTGCAGTCCTGGGCCTGTTAGATGTGAGCACTCGTTGCTTCGCTTCCTCCAAAGCCTCTCTGTTCTGGGCCTGAATGCAGTCCCAGCGGGCGGAGACCGGGAGCCCGGGCACCTGCCCGCTGGGGTGACTCAGCGCTGAGGCTTCCCTTGTCTTTGCAGGAGAGAACAGCAGTGTTCCGCGAGTTTGCACAGGCCGGCCCTGGCGTCCTCTTCTGCACGGTACGTAAGAGCCACTCCGGCGAAAGGAGCATTTCCGCAGTGGGTGGCTGCAGTCTCTCTCTCGATGATTTGCCTTGCAGCTGCCCCACGGACCGCGGGGATCCCAGGGCTCCTGGTGTGGCCGGTCCCTTGGCACCTCTGGTTTGTCACTGACTTAGTCACAGGTAGCCGCTGCTGCTGTGCAGAAGACTCAGCTATTTGCTCACTAATAGTGGCAGCTGTTGGTCTGAAAACGTGTGAATCTTGCTGATTTCTATCCACTAAAAACTTGTAAATTACAGCTATCGGGAGTAATTAGAGCTGAGAGTCTTTCCACAACAAAATCACTCTGTGCACCTTGCTCACCCTTCCAGGAGCAGCTGCCGCGGGCAGTGTGTCTGCTGGTGTCTGGCACTTGCCCTGCAGTGTGAGGCAGTTCCCTCGCCCCGCGCTGCCACCCTGGAGGCTGCCTCCAGCCCAGCGCTGGCCCTTTGAATGCATGTCTCGGCCTCTTTCAAGATGGAGAGTCCCGCCTTCGATGGCCCTTCTCTGGGGATGCACTTCACCGGGGCTTTGCTCGCTCCCAAGATTAAAATCCCTCCCTACTTGTGCCATCATGGGTGATGCAGCTTAATCCCTGATGATTTGAGAAATCCCTGTCCACGCAGCAGGGAAACGGCACTGTAAATGGAGTAACCCGGTGATGACGTGCTGTTTAGCAGCAGATGAGTAGCTCTTTGACCACCTGCTAGGCCTCTAATGAATTCCTCTTTAAGGAACTCCTGCTCTGTGTTCAGTGTGACTTAGCGGTGGTTTTCTCCCTGAACTCCGAGTGTATGGGTGAGTGCTCCTGTCTGTCTTGTGTAAGGTCCTATAGGAGACGGCCTGCCAGCCAGCAGTGTGCCGATTCTCACGTGTGGCCGCCTGGCTGTGCCGAGCGTGGTTGGTCAGACGGAGAACAGTTCCTGGGAGAGCTGGCCTCGGAGGTCTGAGTCCGCCCCAGCAGCCCTCTCCTCTAGGAGCTCAAGTCGGGTGCTGGTGTTCCCTCTCTTCAAAGGCCGGGCCAACACTGCAGACGAGTCCAGATAATCTATTTGATAAAGAAATTTGTCAAAAGTTCTCATGTCCACCAGTACCTTCCGGGGCCGGACCCCTTCCCGTCTCCTCTGTCCCCACTTCCCGCTTGTTCCTCACCCTCAGCCAAGCCGGCCCTTCTCTCACGTCCTCGAAGGTGTCATTCTCACTGTCCCTGGGGACTGGCCCCAGCCGGCAGAGCCCCCCTCCGCTGGGTCCTCACGGATTGTCCAGGGCAAGTCACCTGTGCTGCTCGCCTCCACCTTCGCTTCTTTTTGCTTGAAGCCCGCTGTTATGTCGCAGTTCTTAACTCCCTCCCCCGGGGGAGTCCCGCTGCCAGGAGGCTCCGAGACAAAGGAGCACGGCCGCAGGGCCCACGAGATCCGGCCACAGCCCGAGTGCATGGAGGCACTCGGTTTTCTGTGGGGCCTATTTTTTAGGTGAAGTGTCTCTTTTCCACTTTATTTCATTGTGTTAATGGCAAAATCCTTGGGAGACTGTTGGCTGTTTACTCAGTTACGCTAACTCATGTTGCCAGTTTTTTGGCGGCTCCAGCCAAGATCTCTCGCCTCTGACAGCTTCTGCGCTCTCTCCTTCCTCCTCTGTTTGCACAGCCCAATCTGTCACCCGGACAACGGGGGCCTGTACCCCGCTGATGGCTCCCACACACGGCAGTAATGACTTTTGGCAGGCCGGGGCGGCGCAGAGGCGAGCTCGCTGCGTCCCTTCCTCAGAGCGCCGGCGGCCCCTCTCCCTGTTAGTAAAAGCACTTTGTGAGGATCTTGGGTAAATAAATGAGTCATTTTAATCCAACTGACAGGCTGGCACCTGAGCAAGCTGCCTTCCATCTGTGCTCCTCCGTCTCGTGGAGGCGGCCGGTCGTCAAGCTGGGCCCTCGGCCTCACCGCCGAGTGTCTTTCAGAGCTGACTTTAGCGGTTCTGCAGCACAAGGGCTGGGCCTGAGCTCTGACGCGGGCGCTGAGGCTGAGGCCTCTGCTGAGTCCTCAGCAGGTCAGCTTCCTGGTGCCCCAGTGCCCGCTGATGCCATTGCAGGATCGGGGAGCAGGGTCCTGCCTCTGTCCCCCACCCCAGGGGGAGGGTGTGAGCGGGGAAGAGAGCAGGGCGGGCTGGTCACCACCATCCCAGTTCCTCCTTCATCAGGAAGTGACATTGGATTGCTGCTCAGTGTGGATATGCACGGCCTCATTTGATCTTCAGTCACCTCTGTAGAGAAATAGGGTGGATCCTACAGCCATTGTTAGGCATGTGAACTGAGGCTCGGGGCTCAGTTGACTCGCCCAAATCGAATGGCTGCTGAAGTCCGTCCTCCATTCCTGGAGCAGGGAGAGTACTTTTTCTTGCTCTCTGTGGCCGCCAGGCCCAGAATGGAAAGCCGTGCTTAAAGGCATAGCTGATCAAGGCTGAGTGGTGGTTGACTGTTGGTGAGGTCTCCCCTCCCCAACACAAGAAGTGGGACACAGGGAGGACTGTCTGAGCTGGTGCCTTGAGCCAGGCCACCGGCTGGGAGGCTGCGGTCTGCAGTCACTCCTAACTCACTGCTTCAGCGCATGTGCGCTCCGTGACTTGTGTGAACGTCAGACGCTATGTTAGAGATTCTTGGTTGAATTTACTAAATTGACGAACATTACATTTTCTGCAAAGCCCTCCTGTCTGTCTGGCTCTGGCAGCCCTTGTCTGCATGCAACCCCCCCTACGGAGCACGTCAGTAACACGTCATTTCTTAACAACGCCATCAGCTGTGGTCAGTGCAGAAGGCAGGTCCCGGGCCCCTTAGGGGAGCACTAGTTTTCTCAAAGGCATTGCTTGGGACGTGCTCGGCACCCTTCGTACATTAAACTCCTGTTAATGCGTCAGAAAGGCGGCCTGACGCCGCTGGGAGGAGAGCAGGGAAGGCTGACCAGCCTGTCCCGCCCCCGTGCTGGGCGAGGTGGATGTGGCACGGAGTCTCCCTCAGTCCCAGGCAGCGATCGTTTTAATGTGCTTCTTGCAGAAACTTGCATAGGATTATCATTTTTCAAAAAAGCCAACTATACATGTGATTCCTCAGTGGTACTTCAGAGAGGTGGGAGAGGAGGCTGCTCTTGCAAAGGATGCCAGTTCTCAAATGGGAGGAAGGTGTGCCAGACAGGAAGTCATCCCTCACAGTCATCAGGGAACAGGCAGGCACCACCCACAGAGGCGGAAACACTGGGTGAAAGGATTTGGGAAACAGTCTCCCAATTTCTTACTAATTAGAAAGGCGAAGGTGCCTTCAGATGCAGAGGCTGTTGGCGCCCCTCACTCCGGCGAGTGGACAGTCATCACCATACAGGACGGACAGCAGAGGGACACACCACCCCCACCTCTGCTGCAGCTGGAGCAACGTGCACCGGACTCCTCGGAGATAGTGTGACTCAGCACTGAGTTTCCTATGTAGAAGGATGTGCTTTTACTTAGGAGGCGCATCTGAAGTATGTAGGGGTACAGCGTCCTGGCGTCCCAGGGACTTTCAGTGGTTCAGAGAAGCGTGTGTGTAGAGAGGGAAAGAGGAGGCGGGCGCCCGGCCATCAGCATCGCCCCGGCCATCCTCATCGGCGCGTCCAGATGAAGGCAAACAGGTGCTCATTGTGCTACTCCAACTTCTCAGTAGGTGACATTTTTCTAAGTGAAAATCTGGGGGATCTATCCATCTATTGTTAAGAGGAAAATAAAACAAAAATGCAAAGAGAAAAGTGAAAATCACCCAACCCCTCTGCCTGGAGAGAAGTCAGTTGGCAGTTTGGGGGACTCTCCGGGTGCTGGTTCTCGGGGACCCACTGAGCCATCTGTCCGTTCTTCCACCCAGTGCTGCTTCGTCTGGGTGTGTGTTGCTGACCTATTTTCCCTTGGATTTCTGGTGGAGGAAACCAGACCATGTGTCCCATGGATTTGCCCTGTCTCTCCTCATGGTGGCTACCTTGCCCCTCCCCCCCATAGTTCCTCTAAACTAGCAGTTACGTCCAGACCCCTAATGAGGCCCGGGTTTGGGGGTTTGCTTTGGCACGACAGCCAGTCATCTTACTTTTTAGTTTGCAGACGTTTACTCAGTCTCAGCGTCACGCTTCCATCCTTCCTCTCCCCTTCTCTCCCTTCCTTTCCAGGCAACTATTTTTCTAAGCTTTTGGGATTTCCCCTTTATTATTTCTTTTAGAAATATGGGCAAATATACTTTATTTCCCTCATTTCTTACACAAAAGTATGTTATACACACTCGAAATGTACCCTAGTGAGTCTCCATGGGAACCCTCCCTCTCATGGCGGTGGAACCGTATGTAAGGGGCGGGTTTGCCGTATCAGGGTCACACACTGTCTCCTGCTAGACGTTGGGGTGTTTGCCAGGCCTGCAGCCACAAGCTGCCCACACAAACAGCCTTGTGCGTGAGAGGCCATTTGTATTTTTGCCAGCGTGTCCTCAGGATGGATTTTGAGACGTAAGATTGCTCTGGGTCAAAGGGTAAGTACATAGCAATTTTGCTGAATGTTACCAAATTCCCCACCACGGCGCAGGAAGGTGTGGCGCCTTCTCTGGGGTCGGAGCAGAGAATGTAATATGGCCATGGAATCAGCTGTTTTGAAGAGTGTGTAGGAAGTGCCCAGGACGTGTTGGCGGGTGCTCTTGCTCCGACTGGCAGCGTGAAGATGATGCCAGTGCAGATTGCTGGGGGCTGGAGGAGCCAGAACAGCTAGAGAGTGGGGTCCGCTTTGCAGGTGGCAACCAGCCGGAAAGAAAACCGGAGTCTCCATTGCTGTTGGAGTTTGGCCTGTCTGGCCCGCATTCCGGTTTAGGCGACAGAGAGGCAGGTGTTGCCTGGCCTTGCTGCTTGGAGGCTGCCGGCAAAGGCGCAGGAAATGCTTTGCGGCCACCTCCACGAGGGGTGCCTGGGTGACCTTCCAGAAGCCCACCTCAGTGCTGGTCGTTCGCTCTGCTGGTGGGCGAGGGATGGGGCTGATAACCCAGGAATGCATTCCTCATAGAGTGTCCCAGACAAAATGTAAAAGCGGTCAGACACGCTGGAAGTTTTCAGAATTCTTCCAAGGCACCACGGAGAACGACGCGTGTAAGGACCTGGGCTCCCTGCGGGGGACGGTCATGTGGGGAAGTGGCTGTGGCCACCTCACCAACGGGCTCCTAGCATTTACCCCTAGTCAGAACTTGGAACCACAGATGGACTGGTGGCTTCCTGAGGCCGTGTGCAGACGTGTGTGAGCGTGTGAGCGAGCATGTGAACCCTCTTCCTCTGCATGAGGTTATCGACGGATCTGTGACCCCCACATGGTTCAGAAACTCAGTCCTAAGCCGTCTTCTTTTCTGTTTTGAAGGATGTTGCAGCTCGAGGCTTAGATCTCCCTCAAGTCACATGGATTGTTCAGGTAATTTTTTAGTTGTTAAGGTGTGAGCTCGAGGCAGGAATATATGATCATGAGTAGATGCGCTGGCTTTAAGTAGAATAATAATTATTACCCTCCTGGGTGTTGCCCTGGTAACCAGGCAGCAACCGGCCGTATCTGCACAATTCTCCTGACATCTTTCCTTAACTCAGCCCCCCTGACTGCTGCAGCGAACAGCCAGCCTGCAATCGTGGGAGGGGGTCGCTCTCGGCTCCGGACTAACGCATGTCACACGCAAAGTTTCAGCAATTTGATAATAACAGGAATTCCCCGGGCCCCTGGGAGGCCTCATGGTGTCCAGGAGGAGATGGCTCAGCTGTCCTGAGAGCCGTGTCCTGTACATTGACCTGCAGGGGGCAATTAAGTCCCTGACAGCATCTCACACAGACCGCGAGCCTTAGACACTTTGCCAGAGGGTATGGGCGTTAGCGCTAGGGCCGGTGGTTTTAGTTTTGCTGTTTCTTTTCGTTAGTCTGCAGATGGTATTTTCAAGCCCTTCTGAGTGTGGGCCAGGGGAGACATGCCCTGTTTACGTGAATCATGGTTTATTCACGTTCTGGTGCAGCCACATGCCTGACACTGGTGGGGAATCTCTGCTCCCCGCAGGTGATCACTGGCGAGAGGCGCTGTCTTCCCGCTGGCCTCCAAGCGAGTTAAAGATGAGGAGGCGAGGGTGACTGGGATGTGTGCAAGGCTGGACACAGAGTCGGCCATGTAGAGCCTTATATTGTGAATATTGACCAGTGTGATCTGCCCTCTGACGTTTGATTCATGTAGCAGCAGAGGGTGAAAAGGGTCAGTTTTGATGATGGCGAAGTTCTTGCCGTAGACGACATGATGCTGTGCGCAGTTCATCCCGCTGAGTTCTAGGACCCCTTCCCTGAGTCAGGAGCACTGTCCGTGGGGCAGGAGCAAGTCCCTGTGGGGAGGAAGCCCTGCTCCACTGGGACCGAGGGCTGCAGGCAGGTGCAGAGACCAGCTCCTGGGGCCCACGAGCTGACCTCTGGTCCAGGTCATCGGCCCCTGGCTCTTTACCTGTCAGGCTCCTCACCTCCACTGCTTGTCTGCCAGGGAGTTGGCCAAGGTCATGTGGTCATCTGCAGAGGTTTCCCCACCTGCCCACGCGTTCACCTTGCACAGTCACCTCCGTGAAAAGATGCAAATAGGAAGCTGCAGGGACCTGTGGAGAAGTAAAATTAGAAAGGAGATACTGGGACGAGGAGACATCTCGTTTATCTGAAACTTGGCCACTGTTCACGTCGGCCTGTCAGAGCCTTGTTATTTCCAATGAAGCAGGAGTTTCAGGGTTGAGTGACTTCGCCTTGTGATTGTGTTAGGGTAACCATAGCACCAGGATTTAATTCCTGGGATACCTGGAGGCAGGTGAGGGGTATTGCACTTCCAATTAATGGCAGTCCCTTGATCTGTGAATGCCTTCATTTCTGTTGCCCTTTTTAGTACAACGCTCCGTCTTCAGCCGCGGAATACATCCACCGGATCGGGAGAACCGCCCGCATTGGCTGCCACGGGAGCAGCCTGCTCTTCTTGGCGCCTTCGGAGGCAGAATATGTCAGCTCGCTGGCTTCTCACAAAATCAAGTGAGTCAGAAACCTGAGCGGCTCCGGCTGATCTCACCTAATTAACTTTCTGTCGCTTCTTATAGCGGCTGGGCCTTGTAAGCTGACGAAGAGCCATTAACCCTTGTGATCCCTAAATGAGTCCCAGAATAGCCAGTGGCAACAGCCAAAACCCTTCATGCCGTCAGCACATGACAACTTCCATTGCGTTGCAAGACTAAGTCATAGGATGATCTGTCGCCTCCGCGTTTCATGCAAGGAGGCCCGTGTTTCGTTCTCTGACAGCCGGCTTCTTGTAGACTGTTCTGTTCACAATTTTTAATTCTTGCAATTAATGTACCTTTAAAGTTGGTTTATCTTTGTTTTATTTTGTTTTGTTTTTAATCCTTACCTGAGGATATTTTTTCCATTGCTTTTCAGAGAGAGTGGAAGGGAGGGAGAGAGAGAGAAACATCCATGTGAGAGAGGCACATCAATTGATTGCCTCCTGCTCACGCCCTGACCGGGGGCAGGGAGCAAACCTGAAACCCAGGTTGTGCCCTTGACTGGGAATTGAACCCGAGACCCTTTGGTGTATGTGCTGATGTTCTAACCACTTAGCAACATTAGCCAAGGTGAAGATGGTTTATCTTTGAAAAAAACAACACTTTTTACTCATCACACAATTCCCCTTCCCTCAGGAAAACCAACCTGGAAGGAAGTGTTTGGGTGGCCACTGGAGTGTGTGCACACGCGCAGGCAGCTCTGGCCCCCATCTTGTCAGGCCTGGGCAGGTGGCAGCGCCCCCCATCCCCTCCTGCAGCCCCGGCCCAGCCCTGGTCACGGCGCAGAGGACTCAGTGGCATGGGAGCTGCGCCAGGGGCTTCTGCCAGACCTGACTCCCTGAGGAAAGGCAGAGAAAGCCGCAGGGAGAGTGGCGCTTCCTCTTGGCCAGGAGTTACAGAGCAAGCGGGAGGAATCCACGGGAGCCGGGAATTAATATTTTATCATATTTTCCACACAGTCTCTGGCACCTGATGTAACAAGTCTAATAATGGGCTTCTAAAGTTTTTACTCTGGTCCACGTTCCAGAACTTCTGCTCAGACATAGCACAGCGGTGCACCCCATGTCCTGGGGGCACCCTGAGAGCCACCAGGAGCCACCGGTGACGCCGGCGCTCAGCTCTGCCGCGCAGCTGAGCGTGGGCCTCCCCTGCTGGTACTTCCCTTTGCCCAGGCCTGTGCTCTCTCTCAGGCATCCAGGAACACTGCAGGGCTCTCTCCTGGGAATTCATTGCCCCCCTCATCGGAACCTGCTCTGGGGGACCCCAGGCCACCCACTGGGAGAGATGGGTGCACAAGGTGGCCCCCCAGTACCTGCAGGGCTCTGCTCTCACCTTCGTGGCACTCTTTCGGGGTTGCTGGCGTGAGTGTTCATGGACTGCGGCTTATTCAGAAAAGGTGTCTGATCTCCTTGGGTGGGGCAGGCGGGGTCCACTCCCCGTGAGCCTGGTCAGTGTCGAGTGGGCTCATTTAATGTCTCTCGTCCTGACAGTTTCCCAGTGAGTGGTGGTTTCGTTTGTGTCGGGAACACCTGCATACTTTACCTTACTCAGGAGAGAGCTCACGCTGGCCACTCACTCGTCACCAAAAGCTTCATCTTGGACTTGGAGAGGAAGTTCAGAAGGATGAGGACAGGGAATACCAAGAGAGGGAGGGAGTGTAGCCTTGTGGAGGCAGGATACCAGCTGGTGTGAGAACATTCATTTAGGGGAAAGGCCTGTAGGGTCCAACCTCACTGGCTTCTGCCCCAAAAAGTCACCCATGGAAGTGCCTGTGCCCAAACCCCTGACTGCGTCTCGGGCTGGTGCGAGCCGCTCAGTGACGCTCAGACCCGGTCACGGTGCACAGCCAGGCGCCAGCGTCCCGTGTCCACGTGAGGAAGGGTGTTGTATGTTGGATATCCAATACAGACTGTTCTTTGACTTAATGCAAAAAAATGAAATCTCATAAGAACTAATGGCAGAGTGCACTGTGGAAAGAAGCAGATGTGAACATTTTTGGAATCCAAAAGGTATGCCTAAACATTTATTATTTATTTTTAGGATTTTTATGAATTGATTTTCAGAGAGAGGAAGAGAGAAATACCGATTTGTTGTTCTATTTACTGCTGCATTTTTTGGTTGCTTCTTATATGTGCCCCGACCAGGGATCAAACCTGAAACCTTGGCGTATCGGGATGATGCTCCAACCAGCTGAGCTACCTGGCCAGGGTGGAACTCCTAAATATTTTTTAAAAATTTAAAGGAGGAGAATGTGTGTATGTTTTATGCTCAAGAACCCGAGAGCCAGGCAGCAGCATGCTGGGATGGCTGATGAATTGTGGAGAAGATACGGGATGGCAGCAAGGCCCTCACACACCTTGCTGCCTGCTTCACACTGCGCAGTTCCCGTTAGCAGACGGGGCGAGAGACAGTGCCCTGCCTATGGCCGCCTCGTTCTAGACCAGCCGTGGGCAAACTACGGCCCGTTTGAAAGGAATAAAACTAAAAAAAAAAAAAGACCGTACCCTTTTATGTCATGATGTTTCCTTTGAATTTATATCAGTGCACACAAACACTCCATCCATGCTTTTGTTCCGGCCTCCGGTCCAGTTTAAGAACCCATTGTGGCCCTCGAGTCAAAAAGTTTGCCCACCCCTGGGCTAGACGCTGAGGACTTTGTTTCTAGTCCTTTGACTTCTTTGTACTTGCCAGCTCCTTCACTTGCCCCACTTTAATGAAAGGAGAAGTTTCTAATGAAAGGCGTCATTGGTTTATTAAAATGTAAGTGCTTCATCAAAACGTGTGTTTCTTAGATCAGGCATAAGACAGTTCCCTGAATTTATTTATTTACCCCTCCTCTCTGGCAAGGTGGGTGGCTCAGATCTGTTGCTAGAACCATCAGAAAGCAGAGCAGATGCGCTTTGTTCCTCAGAAGCAGAGGTTTCTGAGGACGGGAGGGCCCTCACACTGTCAGTCGCCCAGTGCACGCTCAGCTCCTGTTCCTGGAGGGTCAGTGGTCCAGCTTGTCATGCGGACCCGCACACCACATCGCAGCGGGCCCTGGCGGGCGTGCCAGCGCTGCCATGCACTGGGGAAAGCCGGCCTTCTGTGCCGTGTTCAGTTCTTTGTGTCCCTGACTGTGATGGCATTATTCCTTCTTTTCTGCCTGTTCAAGATTTGACCCCAAGTCCTTATGCTTCTTTTACTTTTGTATTCCTCCGTCATTTGTCCTCAAGAAAGAAAGGGATGAATAGAGGCAAGTCAGACAGTCAAAGGAAAAGATAGGATTGGGCTGTGTTTTCACCCCCCTTCAGACATCCAGGCATAAATAAGAGACGAGGTCAAAGCCGTAACAGTCCTCTCGCATATGAAGAATAGATTTCCCAAGAAATCATGGGCATTCCCCCACTCCTTCCCTCCAGTAAGCACTCTGCCTTCCCGGCTGACTCGTGCTTTTGTGCAAAGATTTCCCCTATCCACGGGCCCGGAGCTGCAGCAGAGGGGGCTGCGGGCTGGGGTGTGCAGGGATGTGGTGACACATTTCAGGTAAATAGCTGTCGGAGACGTGACATTTTCATTCATAGCTTCGGCAGAGTAACCTTTAGGGGAAAGGGGGAGCGGTGCCTGGTCCCACACTAGAGCTTGCTGTTCGTGTTTTAATCTGCCTTTACATTTTTTAACAAACAACAACGTGTGAGAAAATCACTTATTTTTTTTTATGATCTGTTTTTCTGCCCCAGAACTCCCCCTTCCTTTTCCCTTCTCCCTGGGAAGCGTCAGCCGCTCCCGGTTGCTTGGTCTCTGATACGTGACGGCACGCACTTCCCACGGCTGTGCGGTGGGCTCCACTGCAGGCAGGGCGACGGCTCTCTGGGCCCTCGTGGCTCTGGCCATGGCCGGTGCCCACATTCTTCTCTCGGCCGTTTGCACGTAGCTCTGCCTTCGCCGGAGAGCACGCTCCTCACCCCTAGTGTTTAAAGGACAGGCATGAAGGCCCGTCGGGCGGATTGGGAGGGAGTGGGCAGCAGGTGCGGCCCCGTTAACCTTCACTGGGTGTTCACCCAGCAGTTAAGGGTCCTAAGCTCGCCCCCGCCTTTTTATTAAATTCTAAACAAAAGGGACTATCTGAAATGTTTTTATGTCATCATCTCTTGCTCAAGTCAACGTAATATATCACTAACCAGGCCTGCTTATTTAGTATTTGAGACTTACTAAGAAACAACGACGTTTGTCCTGACCAGGTAGCTCTTTTGGTCAGGGGGTCGTCCTGATACGCCAAGGTTGTGGGTTGGATCCCGGTCAGGGCACATACAAGAATCAACCAGTAAATGCATAAATAAGTGGAACAACAAACTGATGTTTCTATCTCTCTTTCTCCATCTCTAAAATCAGTATTAAGAAAGAAAGAAAGAAAGAGGTGACCCCTATAAAGGAAATTCTAAATGCAGCCCACTTAAAACTCACCCGGGAGGAAGGGACATATTGGGACTAGTCCCCCAGTCCCTTCCTCCCAGGTTCCTGGGGGTGAGGCCAGGCCCTCCCTGTGCGGTGCTCCTTCTGCGTGACATCTGCCATGAGAAGGGCTGGTCCTGGGCGTCGGATCGGGGTGGTTGGGAGAGGAGTGTTTATTGTGCTCTTTCTCTTAACAGCACTTCTGAGATGAAGATGGATGATATTCTGTCTGTTCTGACAAGGGATGATTCTTTCCAAGCCAGACGAGGTGGTGGCCAGGTGAGCTTTATTATTTATTGTTTGCTGCCAACAGATGTGACTCACTTCTCCGCTTGGGGTGGCAGAGATTTTGCTGTGGACGATTGTTTCCTGTCATGTAAAGTGTACATTTGAGGGCCAGCAACATCAGATGAGGCCAAATCTGATTGTGTCTTTTCTCTCCATTGCTTCTGAGTGTTTGCTCGTCGCATCCAGTGCATGGGCCAGTGTCCGTCCTGGAAGTCCGCCCGGCAGGCAGGCTTCCCGCCCCAGGCCACTCCTCGGCCTTACCGCGTCCACGGGCATTTCCCGCCCAGCCCGGCGGGCCCTCTCCCATTGTCACCAAGGACAACTGACTAGGCCGTCCACCCAAGACAGCATGTCTCTTTTCAGACACACTTAGTTCATCCATTTGCTTACTGTGTGCAGTACACAGAGGGAGAGGAAAGGTGAATCAGTAAGAGGAAAAATGTTTATTGCCCGTGCAGTTCCGTAAGGGGATCCTGAGCAGCGGCCGCTTCTTCCTGAGGCTGTCTTCCTGCCAGGCAGGCACCCCCCAGTCCTGCACTCAGAGCGTCACGCGTGTGAGCGTGTGAGTGAGCGTGTGAGAGTGAGTGTGTGGTGGTGCTCTCAGTAACTTTGTCTGTGATACACTAATTATTTGGATATTTCACATTTGTTTTCTGATGCCTGAGGATAGACTGGAAAATCAGAGCCAAAGAGACCAAGCTGAAGAGGTTTTTTATCTGCTGGTGTGTGTGTTAATTTGGATAGATATTCTCCCCGAGTCGGGGACTGGATTTGACTGGCCCTGACTTAAGTTCTCTTGGTCAGAGAATACGTAGGGAAAGGAGAGGAATATCCCAGCGTCTGTCACCTCTGTGGGTTCTGGACTCGGGACTACACGAGGCTGTTCACAGGCTCGGTCCCATTTCACCTCCCACTCTGTAGATGAGGAAGCCGAGGCGCAGAGGTGAAGGGACATTGGCCAGGGCACACTAGCCCTTCGTCCTCCTGGGATGCAAGAGCAAGCGGTCTGATTTCAAAGCACACATCCTTATCACCAACATCCTCCCTTGTAGTAACCAAACCAGGAAAATGGAACTACATTCCTTTTTATATAGGTCATGGAAACCATTCTTATAGAAGTGAAAATTGGTCAATAAATGGCACACAACCAAGCTCCCTGTGAGTAAGAAAAGTGATTAAAGACTCAGCTGATCAACAAGCTGTTTGAGGCGATGTTTCATGGCAAACCTCCCAGCACAGTGGACTAGGACCCCCTTTCCTAAGAGTGGACGATCAAGACAGTTGACCAGTGACAAGGGCACGCCTGGTCTTGACGCCTCTGCTCTTCTGGAGCGATTGCAGGTTCTAGTTAGGGTTTTTATTGCCTCCACAACTTTCCTGGTGGCCCCGGAGAGCTCTGCGGGCTGCACAGGGCCCCGGGGGAGCTGTTTGAGGGGGCCGTGGGCAGAGTGGTTCGGAGCGTGGCCTCAGGTCACTCCTGGTCCCCTTCTCAGCGGTGTGACTGGGCACTGCTGGCCCTTCTAGTCCTTAGTTTCTTCGAAGTAAAGATGACGGTGGTTTCTTCTCATGAGGACGCTGGAGGATGGAGTAAGAAATAGCCCCAACCCCGGCACCGCTACCAAAGGGCATTTGGTTATTATTGCTGTGGTTCTTACTCATCATTGTCATGTTGTCACATCAGTTCATAGCAGATGTGGCATCAGAGCCCCGCAGTGACACCAAGCCTTCTGCCGTGGCACCAGGAGCGGCAGGTTAGCATCTGCCTGCTCCTCGGAAATGAGAGCAAAGCGGTGAGGCCGCAGCTGAGACAGGAAGGTCCACTCAGCCCCTCTTCACGGAGACGCTCTGCGCCGGGCCCTGGTGGAGGTGTCAGCCCGGGTCGTGGGGTGCATTGTGGGGCCTCCTTCAGGATGTTCCCCAAAGGAGGAGCAACGCAGCTGCGGTCCCCTCTGCTCCTCAGGACACGGGGCCCTTTCCTAGCATCCGCCCGCTGTGGCCTTGCAGTCAGGTTTTCCTCCAGCCTGTGCCTGGCTCGAGGCCAGCCCTGAAGCCTGCTGGGCCCAGAGGGGCTAGGCCCAGGGTTGCACACTTGGGTGTGAGTCCTTGCTTCACAGCTAGTGGTTCTGCACTGGGGGCGAGTTAGCCTCTCCCAGCCTTGGTTTTTCCATCTGTAAAATGGGGAGAACCAGAGTGCCCATCTCGTAGGGCGGTCGGGAGGTTTAAATGAGTCAAGGCATAGAGCTCCCTGCACACACTCTACACCCCAGGCTCCTGCCCTGATGGAGTGTTTTGATATTTTTAAGGTTTGATGGTCTTTGTTTTTAGAAAGAAAAGTGCTAGGCAAGGGTGGGCATTCATTGACACCAAAACACCCAGTTAACTTAGAAAATGAAACTACTCTTTCTGGGTTCTAGGCGTCCTGTTGATGAAAACCTGACTTGTTTGACCCATTTTAGCTTGAATTCAGAGGACAAAGAACAAATAAACTAAATTGATAATATTACTCATGATCACATGGATACACAGCCTGACAGTGTTGTGAACAGCAGGAGGAATATAGTGGGGGCTGGGTCCGGCTTTTAGTTCTAGTTGCCATAGTGCAGTGCATCTTGTTGGCTGTTCTCAGCTGGGCAGCACGGCCAGTGCTGGCAGGTAGGAGTGGGCCCGGGGGACGGACCTTGCCTACACGTAGCCGGGCGGCTCACTACACTGCCCTCCCCACTCGCCTGGCTGAAGTCCGTTGTAAATGTCCCTTTGGCATGTATGTTTCTGGGCTCTTGTGAACAGGAAGCAAACCGGGGAAGCATCTGTAAAATGTATATTTCATATTTAGGCATATAAAATATATATAGCCGCGCCCGGGTGTATGAGTTCACCCACCTACAAAGAGAATACATTTGATCTTTCAACTTTTCTGGGAAGCACTCAGAAGTTTCTAGGGAATAAAACTCAGCTTGGCAATAAAGTGATTAAAACAAAATCATTCCATTTAGTTTTAAAATGCTTTAGAAGTTAGCAATATCAAGACACATGCTTCCCTCCGAAAAGCCACTCTCCCCACTACTGCTCCCACTTAACACTTTTACAACAACAATTGGGTGCAGTTATCTTCAACTCATCTGTTGTTTCTTGATAAGCGTGGGATTGCTATCTTCAGTCTTCAAAGCGGGCACGTTCCTGTGAGATTTTTTGTCCTGTGAAATAGGCCTGTAAACTTACTCTAACAAAAACCTGTCACTGGCCTCGAAAGACATTGAAATTAAAATAAGATCACCAGCCCTTGCAGCGTGCCCTTTGATCGTCTGTTCTCTCCAGATCAGCAGGGTCTCCCAGACAGAGGGCCTGAGTGCGTGCAGCTGTTGGAAACGTGGCTCCAAACGGCCTCGGTCCACTCGTTGCGGCTGGCTTCATTAGCCAGCACGGAATTGGTGCCTTCGAGGTGCCAGAGCGTCCTGTGGGGCTCACGTGCCCTCAGGGCCTGACCCACCCTCATTAGGGGAGCAGCTTACCTGTCTGGGCTGAGCCGCACTGCGTCACTCTGCCCCCTGTCTTCAGTTTAAATTTAGACTGTCCTCCCCAAAAGACAACTGAGAAGTGCCTCACTCACTCTCAGGAGGGGCAGTTTTAAAATAGAGTATTTCTGGGAACGGGTGGGGGTAGCAAGGCATGCTTTTTCCAAAGTATATTTTCTGCCACTAACTCCTCATTTTTACTAAAACTGACCTCATCATTTCAGACGTGTGAACCCAGTTTTAATGCCTCTTTCTACATATTCCACTTGTATACACACTCACATTTTTATATGTGTGTGTATATGTAATTTTTTGGGGGTTGGGAAAAAAAGATGCCTCATTTTGAAACCTAAAGGGTGGAATAAGAAAAGCCCTTTGTAATATATTGCCATATTATCACTAAGTCCCCTGACAGTTGTGTCACAGAAGCAAGTCACCTGTCACTTAAGCTTGAGGTCTCTTTAATTTTCTCCTGGAATTCGCACCAGGCTGTCTTTAATTTGAGGCCTTTATTGGAATTCTGAACCCTCTCTGCCTCCCTGGCTCTCAGATCTATTCTGAGAGCTGTTACAGAATGTATACAATAACCAACAGAGGGATTCGGAGGCTGAGTCTGTTTATTTAACACTCTGGAGGGATTTTTGTGCTTATTCGGTCCTGGCTGCCCGGCTTTCAATATCGCTTTGACAGCCATTCTGCCCTTCTCATTAATTTTAAACAGTTAAAACACAGGAAAAAGAGGGAAAAGTTTTCATTATTAAAGTGCTTTACTTTTTAATAACAGAGGATTCTGTCCGCCAGGGGAAAGGGCATCCTCGCTAATTTCACATTCGTCTCTTTAAGAAAACGCGAGGAAGGTGACAGTCGCGCTGCGGAGGTGGCTTAACGAAAGGAGGGCAGCACAGAAAGTTTGCATTTCACATCAGTTAAGTGGCTGAAAAAATCCTTGTTAATGACAACAGCAAATGTCCACTTTCGTAACACGGCTCCGGAGTGACTTTTCTCCTGACATTGGAGCGGAGGATGCCCTTAGGGGGCATGTACTGTGAAATCAGCTAGACTGTCATCAGCCAAACAGGTAGCAGGGTGATCTGATTCAACTAAAAACATTTTCAGGGTGTTCCGTCTCTCTTAATACAGAGGTGAATGTCGATCCTAAAGAAGGGGACTTTTCTTCTCTCCCTTTGTTCCTCCCTGGCAGCTCTCGAAGCGAGAGGCTCAGCGTCTGGGGCAGGCCGGCAGCCGGCCAGGCGCCCCGGTCCTCTGCGGGGTCAGAGGGACCATGAGCTGGGCCGCCTCGTCTCCCCCGTGACTCGAGGGGAGTGTGCAGCAGAGGCTGATCGCCCCATTCAAAGAGTCAACGTGTTAGCCACATGGGGCTGCACAACGTGTTCTTTTGCATCTCGGTTTCTCCTTCAAGCCTGCGTGTGTGTTTTAAGATGTGTAAGAAACAAAACACTCATTGGGGTGGGGGTCGGGGAGGCGACAAGGAATGGAAATCTTTGCGATGGTTTAAGGATGAAAGTATTTTATTAACGCATCCCCTTTGTAGGGTCTTTCAATGCATACAGATGCAGTTTCTTATAGGGAACAGTTTGCTGAGACAGCCCATGCCTTAACAGGTTCCTGGGAGCTCGGCACGGTGGGCTGAAGGAATGATCCGAACGGCCTGGGGGTGAGGACGTGCCCTCTGGAATCCAGGGTGGGGATGTTCAGGCAGCTCACCGGGAGCTCGCCCAGAGGAGGGAGGGGCAGATCTGGGGCCTCTGTAGGAGGTACAAGAGTCATTTGAGAACAACTTTGCTTCATTGGTGTTTTAAATGCCCGAATTGGACCCGGAAAATTCCAGAGTGTCTCCAGTGGACTTTCAATTTGAACGTGAGTGATAAGAGGCCAGGAAGAAAAGTTAGTAAGTAAATAAATAAACAAACCAACAGACCGGGTCTGCTCCGTCACAAAGCCATCCTTGTCTTTGCCTGACTAACATCTTCATAGCCCCTTTTTCCCTGGTAATATTGAAAGGATTACCCTGTTGGCCCCGAGGTGGTTACTGTGTGATTTTACTGTTATTAAATCTATTATAAACTGCTTCATTATTCCTGCCTCTGACTGTCTCTCCTTTAATCCTCCCATCACCCTCCCAGCAACCCCAGGCTGTTGGCCCCCAGGAAACCCAAGAACGAGCCACAGTCTTGCAGACGGTGTTTGAGGATTACGTGCACTCCTGCGAGGGGACGGTCGCCTGGGCAAAGAGAGGTCAGTCCGTCTCCAGGTGCTTGTGGGTGGCCCGTCCAGCAGAGAGCGTGTGCTCACCTCCGCCCGCACACCCGACAGACAGGTCGAGAGGCCAAACAGGCGTCTCTGCTCACCAGCAAAAGCCTTCAATCTCCCTAATGCTGCAGGGTTGGGAGGCAGGCACGGAAGGCTTTACAGTGATATTAAATGTTAATTTCATTCTTCCGTGTGGTTTGCACAAATGAGGCTTTATCTCGGCTTACATCACGACTAGAGCTTTGACCCAGCAGCGTGGGGCTTAGCGATCCATTTTTCTCCTTTGAAAACTGGATAGGAGAGATCTGACCTGTCAGTAGAAATACCTGTAGAGATGGAAATCAGAGGTGAAGTGCGGGCTGGCGGTATTCGACCTCAGCATCGCCTGTTTAAAGGTACAAAGAAAGATGAGAAAGAACAGTGCTGAGGAAGGGCTGTAGACCACGAACCCAATTCTTAGGGCGTTTATGGAAGAGTCGGGCATTAATCGAATATTCAGACCCTTTATGGGATAAGTTGTCTCCTGGGATCACCAAGCATGAGGTGCGGAGCGGAGGGGAGGGGAGGGCTGGCGGCTTCTGTGGTGGAGCCCCGTGTGACCTGGGCCAGTGCGACTTCCTCCGTGTTGGGAGGCCACAGTTCTGGATAGTTCCCTGCTGGCTTTCTGTCTGTTTTGTTAATCTTTACACAAGGATATTTTAGAGAGTGGGAGGGGGCAGGAGCGGGGGAGAGAGAGAGGGAGAGAGACATCAATGTGAGAGAGACACATCTATTGGTTGACTCTTGAATGCACCCCAACTGGGGACCAGGGGTCAAACCTGTAACCCAGATACGTGCCCTTGATCAGGAATCGAACCTGAGACCCTTTGGTGCTGGGGCCAACACTAACCACTGAGCAACTGTTTTTGAGGAAAAATGCCTGGCTGTCTTACCAATACAGCAGGTCCTCGGATAACATTGTTTGTCCAACATTGTTTTGTTAAAATGTTGATGAGATGCTGCAAGAACTCAACTCTTGTTCATATCAGTAAGGCTGTGACAAAGCCATTTTTGTTATATGTTGTTTTGCTTAAAGCCGCAGAACCTATCCACGATGTTAAATGAGGACTTACTGTGTACGAACACCATGACATCCTTTCTTTTCTTTTTATAAATCGAAATTTCTTTTTAAAATCATTTAACAAATATCTGTTGAGTTGGGCACTGTTCTGGGTGCTTGGGATACGTCGGATCAAACCAGACAAAAATCCTTAACTTTCTGACATTCCGGCGGGAGGGTGACAGTGAGTACAATGAACATAACAAGTAAATTACACACAAATCAGTCTATGAGAAGGTGATCCGAACTATGTAAGACATGGAGCAGAAGACGGGCTGTGAAGGGGTGGCAGGCAGGGTGCGTTGTAAATGCGTCAGAGTGAGCGCTGTTGTGAAGGTCACAGCAAAAACTCAGAGGCCAGGCCCCTGGTGGGGTTCCCGGCAGCGGGGCTCAGGAAGGCAGCCCACGTGTGGGCTGGGGGCAGACGCAGATCACAGCGAGGGCCTGGGTCACCCTGCATCGGATGGAGCTGTCGGGGCTAGGGGCAGCGCTGTGTGTGGCCTCACAGGGGCTTCAAAAGAATGGATTTGGGGGCAAGGGTGAAAGCTGGGGGACGGGCCGCAGGGCAACCATGGCCGTCAGGAAGGAGCTGGTAAATGAGGTCAGCCAGCCAGCATCACCAAGTGCCTGTCATGGGCCTTCGCACTCAGAGAGCAGGCCAGCTGCACAGGTGAAGGTGAAGTCCCAGTATTCGCCCCATCCCCGCTGAACAGATCAGCATGCATCCTTCCAGCCTGGGGCCTGGTTCTGGCCTAAAGACAGTCTTGGCATTTCCCTGAAGTGAGTCCAACAGTTCCTAAGGGGTTTCCAAAGAACCTAGCTTAGCGGCTTTGCAGAGTTCGGATATCTGCAGTCAGTTAGGCAGACTCAGCTTGCTGCGCTGTACATGACGAGGCGCTGCTGCAGAATGGCAGGTGTAAAGCACACTGCAATGAAAGCAATAAGCCAGACCACAGGTGTTTGCAGTTTTCTGGCGAGACCAGAACTACTTGAGGTGTCTGGGTCATAGGAGTGACTGTTACAGTAACTCATCCTTAGGGAATGTGGTTTTGTGTCTTCTCATCATTACCATTGACCTTGTTAAGACCAAGAAGCAAACAGAGGTACTTGTCTTCCTTTAAAAGGCAATTCGAGTGGGGCCACTCCCCATCCATTTCATCCCAGGAAGGAAATAAATGTATCTTTGTTCTTATCGGCTAATTGATTTCCACACCAGTTTCATGTGGCCTGGGACAGACTGCATGTGGCGAGTCTCCGTCACCCCTTCAGACATCCAGCTCTTTGCTCTTCCTATCTCTTCTGTCACTGAGGACTGCGTTCGGAGGGTTGGGGGATATACATGTAATTGCACTGCAAACATGTTGAATTTACAACATGGGGCCAGCTACCACACCCCATAAGTGATGCTATCTTTTGCATTTCAGTCTTTTGCATATGCAAAACCCCACTCCTGACATGCCTCCCTTTATGCCTTTTCAGAACCCACCTCATGAATAATTAACAAAGCAGCTGGGTTTTGCCTTTGTGGCAGAAAACTAGTTGGAAACTGGGCCAAGTACGCATTTGTTTTCCTTTCAAATTTTCTGACCCAGTCACTGTTCATAACCACCAGTAATTGTTGTCAGTTTCCAGAAGCACTAACCCCTTTTTCCTTCATTTCTTGCATCTTTTTAACTAGAGATTCAAATGGCAAATATAGTGGTAACGAAAGTTTGAGCTCCAGACTCGTAAGTGGAATCCTTTCCCTGCAAATTCCCACTTCTCCTGCGGTTGCACCCCCCCACCCCCCACCCCCCGGGCTTCCCTGAAGAGCAGGTGATGCTGTGTGCAGGAGTTTATGTTTGGCTTGGAAGGGATCTTCTCAGAGTCAGGACAGCCCAGGCACCGGGGCAGGTCAGCCACTCCCCGCAGTGGGTCAGAGGCAGGCCAGGCCAGGCCTTTGTCGCTCAGAGGAGGGTACCAAGCCGTGCCCTATCCCGCCCCCCCCAGCCCCGCCCCCTTTGGGTGGTGGTCTCAGTGATGTCAGGGCAGGAGGTGTGTGTGCCTGTACTCTGGACAGACGGGTCCTCCTCTGGGGCCAGGCTGGACTTGGCTCCCTGCTGCCTCCTTGATCCTAAGCGTCCATAAGATCCCATCTTTCCTGATCAGATGCAGGAATAAATGTCATTCTATGAAAAGGGGCAAAATGTCCATGCAGGGTACTTTAACATAGATTTCCCCTAATTCATCAGCCATCTGGCTCTGAGCCGGGACTCGGGGACTGTGGAGTGCTCCCACTCTTGCCACAGCTTCCTCCCTCGTCCCAAGTAAATGTCCGCTTTCCTTCCCTCTCTGCTCTCCGCTTGTCCTGGCCCCACAGCCCATTCACTCTACAGTCTTGACATGGCCCCTCAGAAGGTCCTCACGAGGCTGCCATGCCCCCGAACTGCCAGCTTCTCTGAATCACCCACACGTGGGCACCCACACTAGGGTATGAGGATGACCAGCTGTCCCCGTCCCCAGTGAGACGGGGGCCTTGAGGACAGGGAGGTTCAGAAAAAAATGTGCAAAATAGTGCCTGGCCACTGGTCCCAGGAGACAGCACCTCCCGCCACTTCTGGGCAAACTCAGCATCCCTGGGCAGAGGCTCTTGGGGTCGGTGTGGGGCGAGGAGGAACGGGGAGCAGGCTGAAGGGGGGGTTGGCCTGCTCGGCGGAGGACAGGGCTGAGGGAGGAGGCCTGAGCCAGCGGTTGGGTGTAGGCTTGGAAAGCGCCGTTCATTGGCTGGCCTTCAGTCTGGTTTCTCAGACGAGTCCATGTTGTGGGCTGGGCTCCCGGGCCGGGCAGGTGTGTGCTGTGCTCTCTGAGGACGGGATCTGTGGCTCTGTGTCGAGCCGGCTGTCAGAACCCTCCAGGCAGCAGGAGCCATTGGAAGCGTTAGAGGTTTTCTTTGAAAAAGCAGCCAGTCCCCAGATATGAAAAAGGGGAGTAAGCACAGACTTAGAGAGGGGTGCAGAGGAGTTGCCTTGGTTATTATTTCTCATCGATTGGGAAAAGGAGTTCACTTTGCTCAGTAAATAGAGCTTTGATGGATTCCCAGGACCTTCCTGGAGCTGATCTGCTAAAATGACACTTTTTATTACTGTTCATAAACGCCAGTCCCGGGTGCTGCTGGGATATTACGGTTAAGCTGCGGGCAAACTTGCCAGTCCAGTGGCTCGGCACGCCGGCAAGGGAGGCTGCTGTTCAGTGCCCGCCTCCCCCAGGCATGCCCGCTGGGCTCTGGTGGCAGGAGACTGGCTGGGAGGTATAGGGAGCAGCGATGGCCAGGGACGCTTTAAGAGCAACCCCACCTGCCCTGCCCTGCCCTGCCCTGCCCTGCCTGTGGGAAAGGGCAGACACTCCGTTTTCATTGTTACTGCAGATATTCAAGGGGAAATCTTTCCTCAAAGGGGTGTGAGTGGAGGTGGCCAGAGCTCCGCCCTCCTGGGATTGAGTCACCCAGTCCGGGTCTAGGACGGGACCACTTCCTACCTTTAGAGTAGGACGGAAACTTTCATGATAGAATGTCTGATGGTCATCTCTAAGCCGTTAGCAGTCCTCAAGGGGTGAGCTGTTTTGTGGACTGTTTTAGAAATTTAATCCTTTTCTTTCTCCTTTAAAATTTATGCTTCACACCCTGGCCAAGTGGCTTAGTTGGTTGGAGCACCATCTGTACAGCAAAAGGTGGCAGTTCAATTCCCAGTCAGGGCACACGTCCAGGTTGTGGGTTCGATCCTCAGTCGGGGT